AGCTATCACTATTACAGGTGTATGAATTTTCTGATTGTCCGTATCATATCACTACACAGATTACAACATCCCATTCTCCCTGAAAGTAAACTCACTAGGTTTGTCACTGGTTAAGTCAAACAAAAGGAGAGGGATGGGGGCAGGGAAAGGGAACTCTCCTAAGCCAAGGTAAGAGTGTAAAGTGCTACAACCTTTCTAACTGGCAAATTGGAAATAGGTATCAAAAACCTGATAACTTAGTCTGTACATTAATCCTGCCATTCTATCTCTGGAAACATTTCCTAAGAAGAGAAAAAAACAAAAACCTCAGGAGTATATATAGAGAGGTACATGGGATAATCACTGCAGAGTTATTGATAATAGCAGGGGGCAGGAAGAGAAAAAAGGAAACAAACTAAAGTGTAATAAAAATTAATTGATTGGGCCTCCTTGGTGGCACAAGGGGTTAAGCACAGCACTGTGAAGCTATCCACAGCCTCTGCAGCACGAGTTCAATCCCCAGCCAGGGAGCAACCCACATGGTGCAGCAGACCTCTCCTGACTCGCCCACTGCTCCCCTCAGCAGTGTATTTCAGTCAGTCTGCCTGTTCTGTTCCCCATTCTATCTCTGGTGAATCCTCTCACCCCCCCACACCTCTGGCCTGTACCCCAGTTCTTACAGACATAAATAAATCTTTAAAAAATTAATTGGTTAAATTATCACAGATCTATAAAACAAAATATTATCCATTTCTAAAATATTATAAATGACATTACAGATGTGGATTCATGATGTCAAGATAAAAAGTTATAAAACAATTCCATGTATAGCAGAATCTCATTTTTGCTACCAAAATTTTATATAAGAATAGCCACAAGCACACAAAATGTGTTTGGAGATACATCATTTAGGTAGTAGAGTTATGAGTCTTTTCTAGTTTTCACTTTTCTGTATTTCGGTTTTCCTACCACCAACATGCAGTTCTTTAAAATAGAGGGTTATCAGCTGACCATCATAAACTGATTCTCAATCTGAAATCATACAATTATGCTAAAAATAACAAGATTTATCTTTATTTAGAAAAAACATTTATATAACATTTAGTGGTTTACTGAATGCTTTTAATGTTTAGTTATCCAATTAAAAATTATACAGGGCCTCCCCGGTGGTGCAGCGGATTCAGCACAGCGCTATGGAGCTGTCCGCAGCATCTGCAGCGACGGTTCGATCCCAACTGGCCAGGGAGATTCCCACATGGCGCAGCAGACCTCTCCTGCCGCTCCCCTCAGCAGTGTTTCAGTCCTTCTGCCTGTTCTGTTCCTGGCTCTGTCTCTGGTGAATTCTCTCGCCCTCCCGCGCCTCTGGCCAGTACCCCAGTGCTTATATAGATAAATAAATCTTTAAAAAAAAAATTATACATCTCTGGTACCAAGAAATTAGCAAGCGATTTCTTATTGAAGCAATGATCTCCACCAACCACCACAAAGTAGAGTACCAATTAAATGGGTTGCTTTTGAGTTGAATATATTTTAATATACCCAAATTCTTTATCATCATTGTCACTACCATTTATGAAAATGATTGTAACTCAAGAACTTACGTAAGTACCGAGAAGTATTTAATCTTGATCTACTGTTATTTCCATTTCATCTGAGAAAAGAAAGGCCCTGAGGGCTAAGTACTAGATCAAAGTCACAGACTAGGTGTGGTCAAACCCAGTCTTCTCTGGAGCTTGTGCTCTTCAGAACTGTTACATGAGGTGCTATGCTGGACTCTGAAAGGAGTGAAGGTCGTATTTTATCAGTATGAAAAAGGAAATCGGAAAGCATACCAATTCACTTTTGGAAACCAATTTTTACAGTGTTACATCTGGGTTTATCATAGCTTACAAAATGGCATTGTGATACAATGATAACAGTCATTCGCCACTTTACTGTGACTTAAATTTACATTTTAAGTCTCTAAGCGAACACCTTGCCAGGTTCCTCACCCCGGGCATGCTTGAGAAAGGTTCTCACCTTTCAGACCGAACCAAATGCACAAAATGACCAAGGCAGAGTACTTGTAGTTCTCAATTTATAAAATCAGTTACTACCAAGTGATAAAGATTAACTTTACAAGTAAAGGCTTAAAAATGTGTGCAATGTAATTCACTCATAAATTTTGAGTTTCTCCAGGCATGGTTCTAGGCACTGAAGACACTATAAGGAACCAAAATCTCTTCCTTCCATGTATTATTACAGGTGCATTAACATATCTGAAGGTCACAGTTTTTATTAGCAACCTAATAAGACCTATTCTGTCACTTGAGAAACTTGCTCTCCACTTCAGGAGACGTTCTGTGAAAAGGAAGCCACAATGCCAGAGGTTCTCCAGCTGTAATGTACAGGAAACATTCCTAAAAATATTGATACCAGGACTCCACTCAGGAGATGCATCTGGAGGCAAGGTCACCAAAATAAATAAATAAATAAATAAATAAAATCTGTAAGTGACTTGAGGTTTCAGACTTTGAGAAACCAGTAAGTGGAGTCATTCAGAAGGTACTGATCACACAGAAGGGAAAAGCTCTATGGCAGTGGAATTTGAACTGAGTAATATAAACTGCACCCTCATGTAATTAATTCTTGCTAATTCACAAATCCAGCAAATTAAAAAGATGAATAAGAGTAGAGGAATTTACCAGCACCTCTTTCTTCCCCCTTAAAGATCTGCATTTGCCTGCATCTGGGCATTTGGGCAAAAGATGAATTTAAGCAGGGTTCCACCTCCAATATTAGAGATAAGCATTAAGAAAAAGGAAATTGCTAGTCAACAGCAAAAAAAAAAAGCTAAGAGGGACAAACATTGCTACCATTCATTTTATGCCCTATTTCACAATGCCTAGTATCTGAACAATCCACCGAGTTCCAAAGTACATCAAAAATTTGTTCATTTCCTCTCACTCAGGCAGAATAATAATAGCACATCCCTCAGCAATTTCAACAGATACAATTCTTAGATAAAGAAACCTCTACTTTTTTAATGTTCTCTAGAAATGTTCCTTACTGGGGCTTCTTAAAGTTTTAACTAGTTTTAACACCATCACTAAATGTGTTCCCCTCATGTCTTCATTCGGATTACTTAAAAGTTCTTGGATTACTTCAAAATTCTCCTACAGAAAGACTTCTCTTTAATATTAATACACAGATGTAGACATATAAGTAAACACCCATCCTAAGATAAATGTCTCCAGTAAATCACTTAAAAACAAAAGCAAAAACGTGGTATGTTGTTCCAGAGCCAGAAATCGTAAATTTGAGGGGGAATCTAAGCCTCTGCACCTTCAGTCACCTACAAAAAAAGGCATCCCAATAAATACACCGCCCCTGTCTGAGCGGTGAAGAGCAGCACTACACACACCCGGTACCTGCCCTCAGGTCCTGCCCACCACCTACTCCAGGAGCTTTCAGCCAGTTCCTCGTCCACGCAAAGGGATTAGTGAAACTGCCTCCCCCGTGGACAGAACCGAGATTTTCCAGGTGCATGTGTTTGTACGTGTTGGTTTTTTATTATCCATACTTTTTACTGGACTTGCTTTTATTATTCCTAGCATTCGACCACGCCGACAGCCAAGAGTAAGATGCCCGCAGACAAGCACAAAGAAAACGCATCTAGCCGGAGTCTGCAAAAATCTAAATTTTCAAGCTGGTGTTGCCTCCAAAAACAGCACTGACAATGGCAAAGTTCTAAGGGAAACTTCCACATTGACGACGCTCTCCGGAGCCTCCAGCAGCCTCCAGCTCCGCGGAGAAGCCGCTCCTCGGTTTCTTCAAAAGCAAAGCCTCCCGCAGCCCGGCTCCCAACAAAAGATGCCCGCAGGGAACGCAACCCGCGAAGTTGCTCTTCCAGCCCAAGGGCGAACAGGAGTGCGGGAAGGTGCCACCCGCCCCTCGCGGGCCTCCCCTGCCCGGGGACCCCGACTGCCTCGCCGCGTCCCGCAAGCCCCGCCGGCCGCCCGGGCCCCCGCCGGGTCTGCGCGCGGAGCCGGGGCGCCGGGCGGGCGCGGGGACGCGCTCGCGGCCAGGGGCGCCGCTTTCCGCGGAACAGCGCCCGCCGGCCCGGCCGGCGCCCCGGGCCGCAGCTCGGCGCGTCCTCCGCGGACAGGGCTCCGCGGGCGCCGGCGGGGACGGGGCGCGCGGGGACCGCGGCCGGGAGAGGCGGCGGCGCCGGCCCCGCGAGCTCCGTCCCCGGGAGGCGAGGCCGGGCCGGGCCGCCCCGCCCGGCGGCGGAGGGCACCGAGGTCAGCCCGGCCGGGGCCGCTCGCCCCCGCGCCCCCGGCGGAGGGGGCCCCGCGCGGCCACCGGGCGCGGACGCCCAGCCCGCCCGCGCCCGCCCGCCCCGCGCCGCCGCCCCACGGCCCGCCGCGCGCCCCGGCCTCCGCCGCCCGCCGCCCGCCGCCCGGAGGATGGGGACCGGCGGGGACCGGGCGGGGACCGGCGGGGACCAGCGGGGACCGGGCGGCGGGCGGGCGCCCGGCCTCCGCGGGCGCGGCGGGGGTGAAGGGCGGCCCGAGCGACGCGCGCCGGCCCCGGCCCCGCGCCCGGGCGGCCATCGCGCCGACCCCGCGCCGACCCCGCCAGGCCGCGCCGCGCTCACCTCATCTCCGCGCCGCCCGCCGGGCGCAATCAGGGCCGCGCACTCGCCGCCGCCAGGCACGCAGGGGCCGCGGCCCCGCACACCATCCCCGCCGCCCGCTCGCCGCGCGCCCCGGAGCCGCTCGGGCTGCGCCCTCGCGAGCCGCCGTACTACGGAGCAACCAAGCCGCGCTCCCTCCCGCGCCGCCGCGCCGCTGGGCCTCCCGCCTCCCGCCTCCCGCCCTCGGCCCGCACGCCCGCCTCGCCCCTCAGCGCCGCCGGCGGCCGCCTCCGCCCCCCGCAGCCCCGCCAGGCCCGCCCGCGGTGGGCGGGCCCCAGCCGGCAGCCAATGGCAAGAAGGGGCCCGCACCGCCTCCCCGCCCCCTGCCGCCAGCCCCGCCCACCTCGGGGACGCAGGGCGAGCGAGCCCAGGGAAAAAGGCTGACGACGGAGTGACGGCCGAGTGAGCCAATCGCCAAGCTCGGAGGGGGCGGAGTCGGAGCCCCTCCACCCCGCCCCTTCCCAGAAGGCGTAACCGGAGCCTGCGGGACTGGCCGTTCCGTGGTCGCGCTTGTGGAGGTTTTGCGCCGCCAATCGGTTTCTTCTGTCCGTTGCCGTGCGAGGCGCTAGTGAGAATGCACTCCACTGAGGGACGGGCCGTGCAAAGGAGAAAATGTGGCGGCGAAAGAGGCGGGGCACAACCCAAGAGAGGCGGTGGGGGACACGCTTGGAATGAGGAAGGGTGTGGTCTTTCTTGCAAATTTGCATAAAACGGGCCCCATCTGGCAACCACGACTGCGCCCAGTTATTGGCCGCCCGGCCGTGTCGCCTCACAGCTCCGCCCCCCAGAGCATGCCGGGAGTTGTAGTTTCCGATTTCGTTGCTATGGCGTCCCCCACAGCCTCCGGGATTTCAAGAGTGACGGGCGGGCTGGCCAATGGGAGCCGCGCCCAGGCCAGCGGGGCTGCCCGTCGCGGAAGGGCTAAGGTGGCGGAGGCGAAGGCGCAGGCCGTGGGAGCCGCTCGCAGGCAGGTGAGCCCGGGGGGCGCCTGGCGCGTCCTTGGAAACCCCCTGGGGGCGAAAGAGCGGGAGGCGCCCCGAGGAACCGTCGGGTCCTGGGGGCGGAGGGCGGGAGGCGTGTCCCCCTCAAGCCCGGAGCCCGCGGGCCGGGCCTGGCGCCGCGGAGGCCGCCGAGGGGCGGGAGGGACGTGCGCGGCCGGCGGGTCCGGGTCCTGCGGGCTCGGCTCGCGGGGGTCGCCCCTGCTGCGTCTCCCCGCCCTGGGTGGAGGCAGCAGTCTGGGGGTTCCCTTCCGCTGACCTCCCGGGCTGGCCCCCAGCCTTCCTTTTGTTCCTCCAGCGGAGCTGCTTGGTTTCCTCCCACCCGGCCACTGTCTCCCCCCCCCCCTCCCGCGCTTTCCTTTCTCCGCGAGAGCTGCCTGCAGCGCGGGTGCCGGCCGGGGTGCCTCGAGGCCACCCCCAGGGGTCCCCGTCTGCACCAAGCCAAGCCGCTGGCCGCCCCGGGGCTCGCTGAGCATCGCCCGCGCATCGGGTTGAAGTGCTGTGGGTCAGGGCTAGGACCAGAGAACCTGCATTTCTAGCAAGCGCCCAGCTGCTGCTGTGGTGTCCATCAGCTCTGCCCCAGGCATAGTGAATGCCAGCCGCTCCTGGCATTTTTCTGGCAGCCCCATTAAAAAATAGGAAGACAAACACGTGAAATTAATTTTAAGAGTGTGTTTCGTTTCACCCATTCTATCCAAAATATTCTCAGCTCGGATGTGAGGGCGATCTGGCAGCGACATCTGTCACCCCATTGATCGCCAGGGTTGATTCGGCTGATCTGGCTGGCTAGGCGGGTGTCCCCTTCCTCCCTCACCGCTCCATGTGCGTCCCTCCCGAAGCTGCGCGCTCGGTCGAAGAGGACGGCCTTCCCCGAATAGAGACGGACCGGTCTTCGGTGAGGGTATACGAGTAGCTGCGCTCCCCTGCTAGAACCTCCAAACAAAATATTCTCAGCTCATCAGATATGAAAAAATGGAAATAATCGTTTTCATATCAAGCCTTCAAAATCCGTGTGCTTTATTACACTTACAGCACATTTTGGTTCCCACTAGGCAGTTCAAATGGCCAGTGGCTAGTATTGATGGACAGTGCAAGTGCCGTGATCTGATAACCCACTGCAAAAAATAAAAGGTGCTAAAGCTCAGGTAGCACCTGACCAAAGCCTTTGCTGAGGTGGACTCAAGCATTACTTTCGAGATTCTCAGTTTACAAAAATAATAGTACAAATAGCCACCATTTAGTGAATGCTTGTTTTGTGCCAGGTGATATACTGAGTGCTTTGCATACATTATTTAGTACTTACAGCAACACTTTGAAGTAACTACCAATACAGCAATGGAATGGAAGGCCCATCAGTGGCCCAAAAATCAAAGGGCAAATAAGTGGCAGAGCCAGAATTGAAACTAGGGTCAGATATGACTTCTAAATCTCACCCATGCGCCACTTCGGGTTAATTACTATCTTCTATCACCAATTGTGGTTCATTGATGCCTCTGTACCACTTTATGGCACAAATGGGATGTTTGTTTAGATTTGAAACAGAAAGTGTTCTCCATACAAGGTCAGGTTGTCTGTATTTTTTCAGTGAAATATTTTGGTAGTTTTACAATTCTCCATGCATTCAAAATCAAGGTTCTAAATTGAAGAAGAGTGGTTTAAAATCACCAGATAGATGGGCCTCTGGACCAGTACTAATCCTGGGCAGTAGTGTGTCTCCATCCCTTTGTGTACCTCCTTGCAGGATGGGAAAGCATAGGAATTCTTGAAGTCTCACTATGGAACCACAGTGTCTTTTGGGAGGTTTGTGGTTTAAATCTCTCTTGATTGACAGAAATGAATGTTTTCTTTCTCCTGTTAACCTCATAGAGATTATTTCAAAGACAACTTTACTGATGATTTTTCTAGCCCCAATGAACAGTACTAAATTGAACTAAGGAGAGTTTTTTATGAGTCGAAGAGCAAAAATACATTCTCCACACATGCTAAAATGTGATATTTGGCAAAATCATTTTCTTCCATTTTGTATATTTTAAAAAATATGTCTTTTGAATTATTTTCTCTTGATCATTTATTATTAAATATTTAATGTTAGATTAATAAAATTACAATTCCTGTTTTGCATCTGAAGCAAGAAATTGTCTTTTTAAGATCCCAGAGGGAGCTGGAAAATTAAATAAGCATTTACGAATTGCCATGTTAGTTGGTAAAAGAAAAGATAGATTAAAATCAATTGGGGAGGAAAGAGAGTGTGTGGTAGAGATTCTGGCAGGACCCCTCAATTGCTTTTCTCTCTCATCTCCACCTGCATTGTCCCAGTGTCACATGATGAAGCCAGCGTACTGGGAGGACTGTCATCACACCATTGGTTCCATTGTTCCCCAGGAGTACATATGGGAAAATATGATGCTAATTCAGAAATATAAATGAAAGTTAAGTTTCTGTCCAATAGTAACTGAACCTAACCTTGTAACCTGCAGTGACTAGTAACTGCGCCAAAGACTTGCCACCTTTAAAATAATCCCCATCCCGGGCCTCCCCGGTGGCGCAGCGGTTGAGCGCTGGGTTGCGAAGCTGCCCGCGGCCTCTGAGGCGCCGGTTCGATCCCCAGCTGCTCCCCGGCCACCGGAGGAGGGTCCCACATGGTGCGCAGACCTCTCCTGCCGCCCGCTGCTCCCCTCAGCAGTGTCCTTCGGTCCGTCTGCCTGCTCTGCTCCCCGCTCTGGCTCTGGTGAATTCTCTCACCCTCCCGCGCTTCTGACTGTACCCAGTGCTTGTATAAATAAATAAATAAATAAAATCTTTAAAAAAAAAAAATAAATAAATAAATAAATAAAATAATCCCCATCTCACCTTCTCATCCCAGCCACTCAACCCCCAAGTGCTAGGTACCAGGTACTACCAGTAAGAAAAGGAAAAGGTATTTTGTGAATCAACAGATAACAGTGAAACACTCTTGAGGCAGGTAAGTTCATTGAAAATTCTTCTGCGATTCAAGAGGTCATTGTTGTGAGCCTCTGGTCTAGGTAGACACTTACTTAGCAGCCAAGTGTATACATAGGTAATGGTTTGATATCTCCAGATGCCCCCCACCTCCTGCCTAAAGTCTATATCAAAAAGAAAATTTGTCCTTTTCCTAATTCATTTATCTTTAGATCTCAGATTGAGCGAGATGTAAAGGTTATGCCACATATATGTAAATTCTGTCATGCATGTCTTGAAAATGGTCATAGAAATCTATCAATAGACTATCATAATTAGAAGAGTCTTTAATATGGTCACATCTCCCTTCACTGAGCCTTGAAAATCCCCTTTATGAAAATCCCCATATTGGGTCTATGTAAATCCCTCTAGTGATAAGGACCATGCAGCTTCATATAGTGCCCCAAGTTTTAAGTTATATACCTCAAGTGTGAATGTAAAAAGATGTTACAGCACATGTTATTAGCTAGAAGTGCTTTCCAGACTTAGCCAGTTTGCGAGTCACTATCAAATGGTCTTCTGTGCCCGTTGTGGAATAGGTGCGGGATAGCAGTACTACGTATACAGCAAAACCCTGGTGTGCTCATTATTTGTGCAAAGTGTCCTTGGCGTACACACATTTCTAGAAACTCGTGCCTGCACAGAGTTGGCCTATAGAGCTGCAAAATTGGATACTTGAACTAAACCTCTAGCTGGCCACTTTGCTTGTGCTCACCGTAATTTTCAACCAAATATTTGGGCACATGGTTCACATGCTTCTTTATCTGATATGTGGATGTGTATGCAACATCTCACAGATGAGTAAGAACTTAATTAAAACTTACTATAAAGACACCTCTTCTGTCTAACGGAAGATGTGCCCCTGCCATTTTAGCTAGGCTGCTAGTGCTGGCAGGAGGAGGGAACGTGGAGGCCACGTTTCAGACTTGATGTCACCTGGTTGTTTTTTTTCTGTAGCCTAACTGCTGGACAGTTTATCTTTGTTTTCCTTAAAATAAAAACAAGGATGGGTTAGAGACATTATAGTTGGATATTCAGCCACAATATTGCAAAGTTTGTGTGGGGAATAATAGAAATTTAAGACGAGTTTGGGCTTTGAGAATGAAGTTGTCCTTAAGGGTAACAAATGGATCGGATGAGAAAAAGAAATGAGGCTATTCAGCAGCCTAAGACCAGAGCCCAGACCTGAGACTGTTGTAGAGCAACCCCGATACAAAACGGGGTGCCTGACTGTGGGTCCTCACCCGCGCGCTTAAAAGGACTTATTAATGCTCTACTGCAGGCACACGTGAAAGGTTAATAAAAGGTTTATTTACAAAGGGAAGGGGAAATGAGGAAATGGACAGCTCTGGGAGAAAAGTGGGAGACAAAGTTTTAAATGAGTCCTACCCGATCCGCCGATCTGGAATCCCAAAATGGCGCTCTGAGAGCTGGCCACCAGCCAGGAGCGGTGAAGCCAGGAGGCGAGCGATTGGGAGCCAGAGAGCGCCCAAGGCCCACATGTTTGGTTTTTTATATCCAACCTGGCTGCCCAACTCCACCCTCAGGTCCCAGCCACCCTCCCTTGGTGGTGATGAGATTTGTCTTTCCCAGAGTCTTGATGGCTTTAGTCTGGAGTGGGGGTGGAGTCCACAAAGTTAATCCTGTATGGGATTAACTCAGGACATCACTTCCCCCTAACAAGACTTTCAGTGTTAACCTAAATGATAGTGTGGTGGAACAGAAGATGGCCGCCCCAGAGCACATCTTCTTGGTGAAGGGTGGGTCTCTGAAGGCTTGATATTTATTTGCAAACTTCTCTCAGTAGGGCCTCTTCCAGGAAGCCCTACTTTCCTTATCTCTTTTCTAAGAAGGTAGAACTTAAATCTGCATCTCTATCTAATGTGTTTTTCCCAATAAACTTCCTAACTGACCTTCCTGCTTGTTCCCCAACTTCCCTTGTCTCAGCTAAACTTTTCAAGATAGTGTCTGAGTGACACTCAACAGGGGTGAGTTTTTCCCCTGTTGGATATACAAGATATCTATATGTTATTATTAAATTTCCATTTTACTTTCTCTCTTTCTTATCTGTCTAATGCTTATTTGGTTATTTGGCAATCTGGAAGAACCAGGAGGGTGGGGGAAGGCTTCCATTGTGCCCCAAATATATGCTAATCATCAAGACCGAAAAATGAGCAACTGAGCCAGGACACTAGGAAGGAAAAGGAAGAAGCTTCATGGTCAATACAGAAGAATGAATTATGTAGACTCTTAAGCTATCCTTGGTGACCACAGATTGATACAGCAAAATCATATTTGGGTAGAAGATGTTTTATGCCAGTTGAATTTGAGGTTGAGCTGATGCTTAGAACACTGAACGTATACATAAGGAATGGTCTGTAAGGTTTTATTTATAACTGTTTATAAATGAGCTCCTTGGGGGGTTAAATGTAGCAGGAGAAAAGCAGTGGAGTTCATGTTGCTTCACAACCAGCCTCAAACCACTTGGTATTTCTTCCTGTAGATTTTTTTAAATCCTTTAAAAGACCAGTACTTTTATTAAACTACTTTATGGAAGTGTTACAGTCAAGTATTTATGCAATTACTTAAAATTAGGTACTTTGATTTTTGCTTCTCGTGCTTTTTTAATAAGTCTAATGTATGGCCATTCTAAAACTGTAAAGTATCACATACAATCCTCAATTTGTGGACCTATGTTAAATATATTTAAAATCTCAAGTACCTGGAAAATTATAAAATCATTAAGTTTTTTAGAGGGCTTATCAGCCTACATTTTAAACAGGTTTATTTTCATTTAAACGTTTTTTGCTAGCACTTTTTTGAAAAAGAAAAACTTACAACAGAACATAATTTTGAAGTAATGTGACATTATTCTTGGAAATGACACAATGACTACATAATTTATAGTATCTAATAAAGTATTCACATATTTTAGTTCTTGTGTGCAAATGTCTTTACATTCACTAAAAGTCTTATTAAATAATGGACTGAGTGTTCCATTTCATCTGAACTTGTGGCTGAGAAACCAAGTGGGCCTCGGATTCCATCCATTCTGCCATCTTCTTAGTGTTAAGAACTCAGTATTCCTTTTTAGGGTTTACAAAACAGATGATATTTCCACAATTTTCTTCTGGCCCTTTTTGCAAAAACACCTCATTTTGTAACTTTTAGGGTATTTTCGTCCTGTATGATTCTTTATTGAACTAACTAAACATTACTTTTTTCTACCAGCCTGGCCAATTTTTAAACTAATTTGGAAGAGCTCTTGAGGCGGATCTAACTAAAAATATTGGCATGATTATGTATGTAATATTTGCTTTAGAGGATACCAGGACTACAAACGAGTCTTTGGAATTGGGGTGCACATCATATGAGGTCCAGGTGACACTGATCTGGGAAGGCATGCCATGATTTACGATGCAATGGGCAGGGAAAACAGTGCTTCCAAAATTACAAAGGGAGATGCTTTAAAATCAGGGCATTGCTGGTGCCCCATGGCCGCCGAGCAGGAGCCGGGCGAGTCCGGGAAGGGAAAGGTAGAATTAGAAGATCATGTGATGTTAGAGTAGGAGGATTTTTCTTAGTGACTTTAGGATGCTGGTTCCATTGTAGGTATACCTATGCAAAACAAAGAATCCAGGAAAGAATTGCCAGAGAAGGAATTAAAAATAAGATTTTATATGAATGTACCCACCTTGATCCTAAAAGAAAACAAACCAATGGCAACAGCAGCATCTGAGCAATCTCAGGCATAGAACACCCAAATACAACAGAAGTCAGTGTGAAAAAAGCTGAGATCAACTATTAAAAACCTACCTTTTATGTACCATAAAGCCTTCAATCAAGTAAATAATTTGTGTAAATTGTATTTTATTTACCTACTGCCACTATGTCATATAGTGGACTATGCTTAGAAGTGTTTCCTTAAACTAAATAGTGAGCATACATGACAACATCAAGAAGTAAATCTCTCCCAATTACAATTTAAAAAAAAAAAAAAATCAGGGCATTGCTATATAATTGTTCCATTTCTCAAAAAAGGCAACCCTGGTAGCTCCAGACTGAGTCCAAGCAGAGATGAATTTACTAACAATGGACGTTGATTCTCCCAAGCAATAATTGGGGAAAACCCCCAGTTAGTAAGTAAATAAAGCAAGGTCTTATTCATTAATATGTGAGGAAATATGGAGGCATGGAACAGATGGGGTGGTTTGGGTGTGCTGGGGGTAATATTTCAGAGAATAGGGCTTGAGCTTAGTTCACTTGGCAGAATCTGTGGAGTTAGTGCAGCACAGACTCAGAACAAGCAATGCCTGGGAGCCCTGAGACAAAGGTGACCACATGCTGTGAGATCTGCCTGGGTCAGACGGGAGATGTGTTGGGAAGGTGAGGGGTAAGATAGACTAGGGCCAGCGAGCATGCACCTCAGACTGCCTTGAGACTTAGGAAGAGATTAGATGTAATGTCAGGGGGATGACACAGCTGCTGTATCTATTTAGGTTGTTCCCTCTTTCCTACCACCCCCACCACCCCAACAGACACATTGACACACACACAAAGACCTTCCGCTACCAAAGGGTTCAAATTCATTTAATAATTGAGCCTAGCTCGACTGTTTTATGTACTTTATTGCTACGTACAACATAATTTGTATGTACACACATATGTAGAATATATTTTTTATTATTTATTTATTGATACAAGAGCTGGGGTACAGGCCAGAGGCACGGGAGGGTGAGAGAATTCGCCAGAGACAGAGCAGGGAGCAGAACACGCAGTGACCGAAAACACTGCTGAGGGGAGCAGCGGGCGAGACGGGAGAGGTCCACCGTGCCACGTGGGTATCTCCCTGGTTGGCCGGGAATTGAACCCGTGCAGCAGAGGCTGCAGACAGCTTCACAGTGCTGTGCTCAACCCTCTGCGCTACTGGGGAGGCTCTATATGCAGACTATATATTCATTTCTGCTAGTTCCAACATTTGATTATCGCATTTTAGAAAGCAGCAACCATTGAAGTGCTCACTAAAAACCCTTGATAAGGATCCATCAAATCCAATGAGATTCGGCACATGGGGCAGGCTTCACAGGCACGGGTCCTGTGCAGACACACTGGGCCTCACACTCAAAATGAATCATGCTTGGTTTAATGTTCTGCACCATCTTGAAATTTTAATAATTTCTGGATAAGATTCTCTACATGTTCATTTTGCACTGGGTCCTACAAATTATATAGCCATTTCTTTCAGTAAGTACTTAATAAAATTGTCAATCCTGTACTAAAGGATATAGTACTCTAGTTTTACGTGATAAAACTCATGTTAGCAGCTCAGTTAAAAAAGCAGCTAAGTAGAATGGTTAAGGGAAATACCTTTGGAACTGGTAGCACCTGCTTTGTCCCAACTCTGAACTGCTGGTGCTGTGAGACTCTAGGTGTGTACCTTTAAAAAGAAAAGATTTATTTATGTATGCATACAAGAACTGGTGGAGTGTACTCCAGAGGTTCAGGGGGTGAGAGGATTCACCAGAGACAGAGTGGAGAGCAGAATAGTGGATTCACTGAAATACACTGGTGAGGGGAGCAGCGGGCATGACAGGAAAGGTCTGCTGTGCCAAGTGGGTCACCTCACTGTCCGGGGATCGATCTCACTTCAATGGCTAGCAATAGCTTGATGGCATTGAGACTTTAACCCCTGCACCACCAGGGAAGCCCTAAATGCATACCTTAACCTCTATAAGACTCAGATTCCATGTCCATAACATAAGTGCAATGATAGTACTTCCACCAGAAGGTATGTGCCAAATTGTGCTTAACAAAATAGTTTGTAAGAGTCTCAAATTGTAAATAACCAAACGTCTATAAAAGAGATAAATTGTAATTCATACAGTGGAATACTATATAGCAGTGAAAGTGAACAAACTACAACTACAAGCAAAAGTGTGTGAAACTCACAGAGAGGAAGCCGGACATGAAGGAGTATGATTTCATTTATAGAGTCAAAAATAGACAACACTAATTTGCTCTAAAAATCAGGATATTGAGTATTCTTAGGAGGGCAGGTAGTGACTGAAAGGGGAATAGAAAGCCTCTGGATTCCTGGTGCTGTGATGTGACTGCGCTTAGTTAAATTCCGTGAGCTGCACACTTGAGCTCTACATGCTCTTCTGTGTGTATTTTCTGCTTCTGTAAAATTTACATTAAAGAAAATAGTCTTGCCATACATTTATTATGGGAATTTAAAAAATGACTGTGGAATCCTTGCAGACTCATGAAGAAATTCCCAGAATACAGGTTTACATAGTTTCATGAAGTGGTTTATACACTGATACAGAACAGGGCCACAATTTCAAGGAGCATCTTGATGTCTGCTTTTTTACATTTTAGTGTTTTTTTTTAAGACTTTGAACACCCTTTATATAACATCTTAGGTAATTAAAATTGTGCTTCTCTAGCCCTGATAAAGTTCGGTCCCCCCTTCCCCAGTACATCTAATAAGTTTTATTGAATAGCAAAATGAAATTAAGCACTTGCTCTCCCTTGTAGTGAAAGGTTGAACTCTAACTCTGTACTCTCAAGAGATGGTTACATAGTCACTTATTGGATCACTTTCTCGAACTATTTAAATGTATTTGTTTGAAGACTACATTTATAGGTGTTATGTTATCCTTTACCACAGCTGTTTTTCGAGCTTTGCTTTCTTTGGTCTCAAAGACATTTATTGGTTATTTCAGGTGTACTAATTTTTGTTGTTCTTTTGTAGGTGACTATGAAAGGCTTATATTTTCAACGAAATTCTACAAATGAAGAAATTACATTTGTATTTCAAGAAAGGGTAAGAAAAAATATTTAATCATTAAGTAAAAGTTTATTTTTGTCTTATTTAGTTGACCTATTTGTTTGAATTCTGTATGTTACATAGGAGTGAAATCAGATGATTTTGTCTTTGACGTACTTCATTAAATATAATAATAACATGAACCCATCTATGTTGTTGGGTTTCATCATTTTTTATAGCTGAGTAGTATTCCATGACTCACACATACACCTTTTTTTTTTTTTTTAAGACTATTGCATCTTTTTTTTTTTTTAAAGATTTTATTTATTTTTGCATGGAAGTGCTGGGGTGCAGACCAGAGGCTGGTGTGTAAGAGGATTCACCAGAGACAGAATGGGGACCAGAACAGGTGGATCTACTGAAATACACTGCTAAGGGGAGCAGCGGGCAAAATAGAAGAGGTCTGCTACACCATGTGGGTCACCTCCCTGGCCAGGGATCAAACTCAGACCGTCGAGGTGGTAGTGTTGAGACTTAACCCCTAGGCTACCAAGGAGGCCCAAAAACATCTTCTAAGAAGATGTTTTTTGTCCAAACATCTGCTAATGAGCACTTAATTATAACTACATCTTGAGATGCCACAAAAAGAGTTTTTAGGGTGCGGATATGAAAGATATTAAGAAAATAGAACAACTTTAATATTCTTGTATGTTGCAAAACTAACCCAGATTAACCTGAATACCTCAATAAAATGAGTTTTAAGATTGTAATCATAGTTCAGAAAATACTTCCTCTTCTATTATAAAATGAAAAAGTAGGAAAAGCATTACTTTCCATTCTACTATCTGGGCTTTATACATAATTACCTCATTCACTAAACTTTATGGGGTCTCTAGTTTTAACTGCTTTAATTTCATATATAGATGATTGTTGGCAAGGGAAATTTAGGGATAAAAACTGAGGCTACATATATTTCATCACAGTATACTTCAGAGTAATAATAATAATTTCTAGATTATGAACACAATCCAGTTTTTCTCTGTTACCTTTCATGAGCTCCAAAATCAGTTAGATTGGGAGTTAAATTTCAGGCAGTTAGAGGCCTCCCTGGTGGCGCAGGTGGTTGAGCGCAGTGCTAGGAAGCTGTCTGCAACCTATGCAGTGCCAGTTCTATCCCTGCCGGCTGTGGAGCAACTCACATGGCGGGGCAGACCTCTCCTGTCTTGCCTGTGTATTTCGGTCATTCTGCCTGTTCTGTTCCCCGCTCTGTCCCTCCGTACATATGGCCTGTACTCCGATTCTTATATAAATAAAATAAATCTTAAAAAAGTAAAATAAAAAATAAATTTCAGGCAGCTTGACTTCTACCATCGTGTTCAAGACATTTGATTGGCACTAAATACTCAATCCTGAGTAAAATCCACAAATTCATCAATATTGTTGAGTGTCTTCATAATATCACCAAATATCAAATCTGATTTTAAAAGACATGTTCCCATAATATTGTGTTCCTGTCAGTCAGATAAAGCACAGTGATCCCCTTAATGGGTCCCAGGAGAGACTAGGCAAGTAACTACCCTTAGGTGGTTTTAGACCTAATTTTGGGGGTATATCAGGAATTGAAAAGAGTGTTTTAATTATTGGTGCCAGGATATGGTTGAGGGCAGTGTTGTTATATTTATTAATAAGTGTAGATGACATTGAGTACCTGAATGTGAGAATTTTTGTTGTTGTTGTTGCTGCTGAAGTGACATCTGACTCTGTAGAAAGAGTGAGAGGGGGTGATTTTATGCCTAGGTTTGTGTTTTGACCCTGGAACTCCTTGGAGCTTGCCAGGATATCCACGACGTGTTAAATACGAAGTAAAAGGTGATTCTAAAGAACTTCATTATAACCTTAAGAAAATTTCAGAATCAGTACAGGTTTTATATGTATAGGGTTATTCCTGTGTGAAGGTTCTATGTGTTTAGGTTGAAATAAAATACAGTATTTATTGCTACTCTTTGTTACAAATATATCCTCTGAGTATCTGAGAACCTTTTCAAAATAGGTACCCTGCATTTCTATAAAGCTTTTAAAGAAACTTTAAAACTTTTACCCCAAAATTCCCTTTATTCTGTTTTTATTATAAACTACTGGTTAATTACTTGTAACTTTTTCAATTAACTGTAAGATTTGGGGTCTGTTTAATTTTGCTCAATTATATATGAAGCCTTTCACAACATAAAGGCATGTACTCAAAAGAATGTGTAATTTTATTTTCTTTGGGTTCTAGGAAAATCTTCCTGTTACAGAGGATCATTATGTGAAACTTCAAGTGAAAGCTTGTGCTCTGAGCCAGATAAATACAAAGGTATTTGTTTTTTATTTTGGCCAAAACTCTATTTCTACATTAAATAAATTTATTAGTGTAATTGAAGTAATATATTTTATATATTATTTGATAGTATTTTGTAAACTAAGGACTATAAAGAAAGAAATTACCTTTATAAGTATAGTAAAAATAAAAGCTAGAAACCTATTTTACTAATTTATTAACCTTCTGGTCTAGACATAGTTCTAGTTAATATTTCTAGATAGGGTTCATATTCTAGTCATTTCTCTTTGTCTTCCTCTCCCATGTACACACATTCCCAACCTCACAGCACCCCACAATCATCTACCATTATTGATCATGGAGTACAAAGAAAGTCTTCAAATATTAAAGTGTGGTTAAATATGCCATGATGAATAAATCAAATCCGTTAACTCATAGTTTTGTGAAGTTTAATGCCATAGTTCCTTTGGGCCATTATATTGGATATAATGTCACCATAATTTCTAAAAATCTGAAAGTTTTCTTCCAAAATGTCACATCTAGGGAAACTGTAGATCAAGGTTATAGACTTCCATTGGGTTACTTTGTAACTGATCATGACCTGAGAAGTGAATCAGTGAGATGCCCTGAAGTCCTTTCCCGGGAATACTAGTACTCCTTGTCTGTAGTAGTTCTGTATTCCAATGTGTTCTTTTTAAAAATATGAAAAATCCATTAAAATCCCAGACTAGGAAGTTAACTTCACATCTAACAGAAATCAATAGAAAATCAATTTAATGAAATACCACACAATTTTTAAGCATAGTGGTTGTGAAAACTGCGTAGTTATATTGGCAAATATTTTGGCAAGTGACAGAGACAGGATGGTTACCATGATTACAGGTCTGTATGGGTATATGTAGAAGAACTGCTAGAGACCCAGTATTTCCAAAAGAATGACATGAACATCTTCGAAAAGTGTGAAGTTCCAAACTGAAAAAGCCTTTTTGGATAATCAAGTATTCACAGGCAATAAAAAAAATTGAAAAATAAAAAAATATATATGAGAAGTATTTCAATTTTTTTTTACTTACTGTTCCTAAAATACCAATATACCCATAAACATGTTCAAATCAAGTGTTATAAAGCTATAAGTGTAAAAATTTAAACTACAGGTTTATCTGTGTATATTCTGTCCCTCTAAAAATCAGGTACTTCATTTGGTCAGAATCTAACACAGGTGTGCTAATCTCTTAATAATGAATTATTTATCCTTTAAAAGAAGAAACTCCAATCTGAAATTCTGTAGCGGTCTCCCTGTGTGTATCTCTCACATCTTCCTCCTGCTCCCTAACCCAGTACTTTCAAGATGGAAAAGAATATGGGACTGGAGAAGCTCTCTAGTCTCCCCAGATTCTCCTCACCCCACCTGAGAGGTGTGTTTAGCCAACCACGTGTTTGGCTGCAATTTCCCTTCAATACTTGGCAGATTAAAGACTTTAAAGTATGTCAGTGGTGATTTGAATAATAATACTCACAACTAAGCCCTACATACCAATTAATTCCTCAGCATAGTCTTGGTTTCATACTCTCTGGAGAAATCTGTTTTGTGAAGTTATATGCTTTAACTTGATTCCAAAAATGGAATTATGTTTGTTTTTTGTGGTTTGATTTTTGTTCTTACTTTCCTCATGTATGAGAAGAGGCCAGAATTTATTCTTGACAGTAAACAGCCTTTGTCCTGATTAGCTTCTAGCAGAAATGAAGATGGAGAAAGATTTCTTTCCTGTTGGGAGAGAAATTGCTGGAATTGTGTTAGATGGTAAGTTTACAGATAAAAATATCTGAATTTGTTTTCTAAGGTAAAAGAAATGATAGCTAATTAGTTTACTGACAAAATTATATACACTTCTTCAAATATAAAATTTAATTATGTAGAAAATTTTCCTTTTAATTAAAAAGACAAATAGAATTTCATTTGTGTTTTATAACTGAAAAGCTTGTCACAATTTAGTGAATATTTAGAGGTTAGGAACTTAAATCCATGAATAATCACATTAAATAGAATGACCTGATCAATGTAGTCCTTTTTAGGATATTTAAAAACCAGCATAAATTACTTGTCTTATGTTGGCTTTGGACTAAAATTTATATAATAGTAACTGTATTCACATTCAGTTTTTAAAGTTTGCCTAAAATTTAGCATTTAAAAGCTAAAAATGGGTTCTGGGAACAAATAACCAGTAAGATTTTATAATTGTCTTAAGTTTAAAAAAATTGTTTTTAGTTTTATTTACTAAAGAATGATTTTTTTTTTTAATACAATAATAAGATTTTATTGACTCTTGACCTGGTTGGAAATTGCTTTGGGAAAAGTAATTGTTGCTGGGCCTCCCCGGTGGCGCAGCGGTTGAGCGCTGGGTTGCGAAGCTGCCCGCGGCCTCTGCGGCGCCGGTTCGATCCCCAGCTGCTCCCCGGCCACCGGAGGAGGGTCCCACATGGCGCGCAGACCTCTCCTGCCGCCCGCTGCTCCCCTCAGCAGTGTACTTCGGTCCTTCTGCCTGCTCTGCACCCCGCTCTGGCTCTGGTGAATTCTCTCACCCTCCCGCGCTTCTGACTGTACCCAGTGCATGTATAAAAAAAAAAAAAAAAAAAAACAAACAAATAAATAAATAAAACATGCCTCTATAAAAAAAAAAAAAAAAAAAAAAAGTAATTGTTGCTGTGGTGTCTAGACCTTGGTTATCTAAAAATATGTATATGGAGTAAAGACAGTAATTGGGGAAGGAAAGCAAATACAAAGAAATAAACATGCATCTTGGAAAAAATAATTTATGCCCTAATTAAACTATCAGATCATTGCTATGAGGAACAAAAGACATAAAATTCCTAAATATCATAGAAATCCGTGAAGGAAATGGAAAAAAATACATTTGCAATTTTCAATTATTTTACTAAGCTGAAGTACAAAATTTATTAAGAAATTTAATTGAAATTTGAATAGTTCAGGGAAGTTTTGACTAATCCTTTCAAACTTCTTAAATTTTCATCACTTCCGTTTGATGGTTCATAGTCTGCCTGGAATGATATAAATCCTAAAACTAATTTTTACAGATTTATGTAACTTTTTTTTTTTTTTTTTTTTTTTTTTTTTAAAGATTTATTTATTTCTTTATACATGCATTGGGTACAGTCAGAAGCGCGGGAGGGTGAGAGAATTCACCAGAGCCAGTGCGGGGAGCAGAGCAGGCAGAAGGACCGAAGTACACTGCTGAGGGGAGCAGCGGGCGGCAGGAGAGGTCTGCGCGCCATGTGGGACCCTCCTCCGGTGCCCGGAGAGCAGCCTGGGATTGAACCGGCGCTGCAGAGGCTGCGGGCAGCTTTGCAACCCAGCGCTCAACCACTGTGCCACCAGGGAGGCCCGATTTATGTAACTTTTTATTTTGATTCGCCATGAATGCATATTGAAGCAATGCTGTTATTTACTGTGTTAGTATTAGCTTACTTATTATTTTTTAAAGATTTATTTATTTATATAAGAACAGGGGTATAGGCCAGAGGCGTGGGAGGATTAGAGAATTCACCAGAGACACAGCGGGGAGAACAGACAGACGGACGAAATACACTACTGAGGGGAGCAGCGGGTGAGTCAGGAGAGGTCTGCTGTGCCATGTGGGTTGCTCCCTGGCTGGCCGGGGATCAAACTCATGCTGCAGAGGCTGCAGATTGCTTCATAGTGCAGTGCTTAACCCCTTGCATCACCAAGGAGGCCCTTTAAAATTTTAAATACCATAATTTTGAATAGAGAAAATGATATAATGACATTAAAATTAACATCTATTAAAAACTTTCTTTGCTGGTCCAACCACTATGGAAAACTGTGTGGAGATTCCTCAACCTACTAAAAATAGAGCTTCCATATGATCCAGCAATTCCACTCCTAGGTATTTACCCAAAGGGCACAGAAACATTAATTCCAAAGAACACCTGCACCCCTATGTTTATAGCAGCACTATTTACAATAGCTAAGCTTTGGAAACAACCCAAATGCCCAAAAATAGATGACTGGATCAAGAAGATGTGGTACATATACACCATGGAATATTACTCAGCATTCAAAAAAGATAAACTCATGCAATTTGCAGCAACATGGATGATGCTGGAAGGGATCATGCTCAGCAAAATAAGCCAGAAAGAAAAAGAAAAATACTGGATGGTCTCACTCATAGCAGGAATCTAGAAAACCTAAATAAGGGACCAGGAAAAAGAATAGCTATAAGAAAGAAAAAATCAAAATCAACAAACAAATATGAACCAGAGACACTCTATGGGGGGAGGTGGGAGGAGAGATTGGGGTCAAAATAAGGGGGTTGCAATTGTATGGGAAATATAAAAATAAAATTAAAAAAAAAACTTTCTTTGTTCTAAGTATTTCATGAGTATTATCTCACTTAATCCTTACTGCCCTATGAGTGAGAACTGTCCAGTTCTTTTTTTTAGAAATTGTGTGATTAAATCTCGGAGACTTTAATTGACCTGCCCATCAACACAACTGGTACATAAGTGGAGGAGACAAGATTGAACTCATTCTCTCTGGCTTAGGTGAACAAACATACACTGTATAAGAGTTCAGCACTGTAAAATAGGGAATAACTGAGTTGTTCCTCTAAAATACAACTTTTGAGAGAATGATAATTGAAAACTAAAAACCTGATGTCAGTTTCCTATCTATGTTGATTTAGGGACATCAATTTGCCTAGAGGGTAATTTCAGGCTTTTTAAAATGGTGCACAAGGTATAAAGAATGGTCATAACAGGCATCAGATATATACACTTAAGTGTTTGAGATAATTTGTTTCTAAATAGACCTGCTGTTCATAGTCACTGTTAGCCAGTAGTTTGTGACCAGTCAGTATGCAGTTGTTCTTTCTCATGTAAGTGAAAGAATGGGGGAGTAATAACATAGGTTAGACTATTTGATTTTTATCTGATTTTACTTTATGTGTAATACTCCTCAATGTATAATTTCATTATAACATAATGAAATTCTAATTTCTTTGTCTCTCCTTCCTCTGATCAGACTATAGGAAAATAAAAATGATAATGGCCAGAAGATGGTCAGTCATTCCATATTTAACATATACCTGCTGAGTATTTGGAATACAAAGATAAGTAAGACGAAGTCCTGCCCTCAAAGAGTTTACAGTCTAGGAGAGAGGTATATACCTTTGAGCAGATTATTGTGTAAGCTCCAAGGAGAAGCGCTTGACCCATTCAGGAGAAACAGGAAGGCTTTCTTGGAATAAGACAGCCTGATGGTTGGGCTGCAGGAGGAGATTCACACTCAGCAGAGAGGGTATCATGAGCAAGAAGCGAGTAATAACATGCACATCACAGAGTTTGGTGTTGCTAAAGCAACATAAAGCTCTGGCTAGGAGTTGGAGGTATTTGGCAGCAGAGAAACATTTTGTCAAGAAAACTCTCCTTCAAATATAGCAGAATTAAAGATATTGAACAAAATATTTTCATTCTGATATGAACATTGATTCCTTCACACACGCAACCAACAAAAAATGCAGCAGGAGGGTAGTCGTGGACCAGATCTTAATGTGCCTCATGTGTTTATGGGGATTACTAGAGTGACCACGTGAAGGGCAGCTGTGAAGCACGCCAGGACGTATGCCAAGGGCCAAACGGGTCATGAACCAACATGCAAGGGACAACAAAATCCATTTCCTAGGCATTGCTGGCTGGGTGGAGACAAGGGATGTCTTCAAGAAATAGTGAAGAAGTAAAGTCAGCAGGGCTTAGGAATTGATTGGAATAGGGGAAATAAGACAGTTAAGAACCAGGATTGATTTACAGGATTCTGGTTATGGTATTAATTGAGCAGGGTAGAAAACCAGATTTATCAGATGATGAGTTTAGATTTACACTTGTTGGGTTCAAAACACCTAAGTGACATTTCACAGAGATATCTAGTAATTGTGTGAGTTTAAGCTCAAAGGTGAGAGATCTGTGCTAGAAATGTCAATATTTGAGAGTTGTCAGCATGTAGGTTATATTTGAAATATTAAGAGTTGTTGTGCTTTCCCAGGGAGAGGGTAGAGATGGAGGAAAAACAGAAAGATCTCATGGAACCCTTGGGAATGGTACTGTTCAAAGCCCAATTAAAGTGAGTGTGAGGGAAGCCAAGAAAACAGGAGCACACTGATTCCCAGGAGGATGAGGATCTTACCTACTACAGAAGGGAAGAGAAATGTGCAATGGCAAGAAGCCAAGTACAGGAGGCTGGTGGCACAGGAGGGACCCAAAGAAGCAGCAGAGTGGGAAGGAGGCCTGGAAAGCAGGACTTTAGAGCTACTTGCTGAGTACCAGGGTCATAGTGCCCACTTCTAGTTTTCAGGCTGCCACCTTATGGCATTGCTTCCCTTCAGTTTCCTTGTCTATTAAATAGGAATTATAATGCCTACCACATGGATATACTCTGAAGGGTAAATGATATAATACCCTAAAAATGATGAACACAGTAAGCATTCAGTAATGTTTGGTTTTCTCCTTCCTCTTCCCCTTGTAACTCTCTGTGCAAAAATATTCTAAAGAATTAACTGATGAGGGCCCCTGGTGGCACAGGGGTTAAAGACAGCACTATCAAGTATCACCAGCCACTGCAGCATGAGTTCAATCCCCGGCCAGGTAGCTGACCCACATGATGTAGCAAACCTCTCCTGTTTTGCCTGCTACTCCCCTCAGCAGTATACTTCAGTCAGTCCACCTGTTCTGTTCCCCGCTCTGTCTCTGGTGAATCCTCTCACCCCCCACACCTCTTGCCTGTACCCCAGTTCCTGTATACATAAATAAATCCTAAAAAAAAAAAAGAATTAACTGATGACAGTTAATTTTTGCTTCACATACAGAGAAAATGTGACTGATTTATATATAGCTCAAAAAAAATTTCTGGACACCAGTCTGAATTTTTTCCATAATCCCACATTAAAGTAATTTTTATGTGACTCTTAACCAGAATTCCCTGTTACGTGTCTGAGATTCTGCAACGAAAATAATAATAGAAAAGTGGGCTAGCCTCAGGAGGGCTGGAGAGCAACACACTCATCATAGTAGCCGCACAATGCATTCTTTCCCTCTGTTCCTCACGCTTACCTGAGAACAGAGGCATCCCCTGTGATGTCAGCAGCCACATGGCTCAAATTTCGTGGAGAATTCATATTTGAAATGAATATAACACCATCAAGATATCCTAGAAGTTAGTGATTTTTATAAATCCATGTCTCTTCTGATTTATTTTAACAAGAATTACAGTAAAAAACTTGATAATACTAAATCCTCATTTTCTCTACTCTCTAGTTGGAAGCAAAGTATCATTCTTTCAACCAGATGATGAAGTAGTCGGTAAGTTACAGTTTATAGTTCTATTTTAAGGCATCTGTTTTAAGTCATTTCTTCCTTTTTCCTATACAATTTTTAGTGTTTATTGTGGCCTTGCTCCATCTATAAGTACTTTTTTGATTTTTGAGATCTGCTCTCAAATAGCCACTGATGAAGGGAATTGGGAATGTGATCTCAATGGAGTATTTATTCAAAGCCTCTGCAGTTTGACGGCTGTGTATCAGTATCACAGAGAGAAAGATGGCCACCCTGTGCTTGGTGAGGCCCTTTCCTGGCCATACATCATCTAAGGCTAAATCGAAGCCTCTAGACAGAAAAGTCACAGGTCTCTGCTTGAAGACCCTCACTGACCTGGCCACACAGAAGCTCCAATCTCCAAATCGGAGAGGAGTTGTACCTGGCCCCTCCCTTATTCTTATAAAGCTAAAATCTTACTGGACATGTTCAATTTACTGTTCTTTTCAATCCATAATTAGTACTATTTTGCAAATATATATATATACTGTATCCTAGACAGGCATATAATAAACATAAATAAGACTTTAGTTGTCTTTAAAATTGCTATTTCTCAGTGGGCAATAGTCATTGGAAGGTATTCATATAGCTTAGAAGATACTTAGCCTAAAAAGGATTTGTAGAAAAGTTTTCATGAGCTTTCTAAGGTATTGCCTTTGACTCAAGTGTTTCCTGGAGAATTATTATTTCTCTCAGTGACACTGTGTCCTCAAGATTCTTAGGAGAGGTTAAAAATAAAATAAGACTGGCTTAGGGTAAAAAATGGGAGTTATTGGAAGCAAACTGAAGCATATTATGGAACCACACTTGGAGGGTAGCTAGGTGTCAGGGGTAATTTTAATGAGGGAACCTGGGTGCCCCAGCACTCTGACAGGGCTGTACACTTGGCCTCATGTTTAACTTACAAGTGAAACAAGAAAAAGGATAGTTGGTAAAGTGTTCATATCAGGCACCAAGCTGGCTGCTTCCCTTCCCCACACTAGTGACTACTAGAATCTTCTTCAGGATTCCTCTGAACAAAGTTCAGACCAACACTTACCAGTATCTCATTAGGCATGGATTCAGTTTTATATTGTTTCCCTTTGACTTGTCATTTAAACTTTCAGGAATTTTACCCCTGGATTCTGAAGACCCTGGGCTTTGTGAAGTTGTTAGAGTACATGAGCATTACTTAGGTACGTAGCGGTTCAGTCTTCCAGAGTTTGTTTAAGTCTTTTCCCATGTGTGGTATTTAATAACATTTGACTTCTTTGCATTGCCATGAGCATACATAACAAATAACTGTTGGCTGATCGTGTGATACTTCTAGTTTACATTTAGTATCCAGAAAGTTCATATTCAGACTAAGTGATATGAAAATTCATATTCATACCAAACAGTATACAGACCTTTAGCTTCACTTAACACTTCTCAGAGATTGAAAAGCAGTTTCTCCCTTGACTCTGAGATTATATCTCTAATAAGAATTTTTTTAATTGTTCCTCTATTAATTAATCTAATGTGTAAGAAAAGGATATACTTTTATTGTAAAATGACTTTTAGATTATGGAGCCTAATCTAAAAATGGGATTAGAAATGGAAGAAATTTGTTAAAAACATTCTTTGGGGATAGAGAATATTGTATTTTTTGATATATCTGGCCAAATAGAAGTTGTGGATAATATTCCTTAGGTTTATTTATTTTATCATATTAACTATTCAGACTATTTTTCTTCTTATTTTTGGTCATTAATTGAAATAAAAGTGAATGAAATTTACGTAGTGCTTGTAGGATTTGAGACAGAATTAAGAAAATTTGTCTTTGGTTTCTGTTGCTTATATCTTTTGGCAAGTGTTCATTTTAATGGAAATGCTAATTTTATATATAAATATATTTATAATGTTTCTTATTGGCATTTTCTTCTTAGATTTTTAAGTTTAAAAATGTTTATATATATATATATATATATATATATATATATATATATATATATATATAGCTATGCACAGTTACTTCAGGAAACCATAATGAAAGATGATGTTATCTCCTAAGTAATCAGGGTAAAGCAAATTAAAACCACCTTAATACCATTATGTACCCGTGCGACTAACAGAGTTATAGTCTTACCATTTCAAGCTTGGGCAAAGATATGGAACAGTGGACTCTTTATGCGCTGCAAGTGTAAGTTGGTACAGATGCCTTAGAAAATAAGTTAGTATTACCTTAAAAAAGTAATAAGATATATATATGTATATATGTATGTATGTATATATGTACCCGACAAACTTGATGTGCACCAGTGAACATGCACAAGAGGTCACAGTAGTCCATCCCCAGCAAAACAGATAACTGAAGATACTCCACATTGTAATTCAGCTGAGTAGTGAAAATGAATAACAGGCAAACATATCAAGATGGATGAATATTACAACTTATATTGTGTGAAAAAAGCAAGTTTCAGAAGAAAACATGTAGTATATTTGTTTCTGTAAAGTTAAGATCATACAAAATTAAGCATATCTTATTTCAGAATATAATGAAAAGGTAGAGATGAAAAGCCAGGTGGACGCTGGTTACCTGGTAACCCACAGTAGGGGAGGGGAGGGGAGGATTTGAGAAATCCTAGGTAGGGGAAGAGGATGTGATCAGACTAGATCCATGGCACACGGGTAGAAATGCCACCAGCTACTTCTTGTGCTGGGATTCATGTTCTTCATATCTTATTTATAGAGTGACATATAATTACTGTGTTTGTAAACTAGTTCATTAGAACTTTGCCTGGCTTTTTTCTTCAGTGATAAAATCCCTAATCAGACCTTGTAAAGACAGAAGGCCAGTTTGGATTTTGAACTATTAAAAGTGTGTAGGATTATACTATTAAAAGTGAGAAGGATTATACTCCAAAAATCCACCAACATGTAGAGAAAACAACGCCAAATATTCCCTGAGAAGGAAAATGTAATAAAATGTTTCTTTTAAAAAAGTACTTTAAGACAGACCTGGAAGCAAGACCCTGGCACATTTACTTTACATAATAAATGAGGGTACAGAGCTAGAGAACCCCTAAGCTCTGCCACAGCTCTTGCATTTTGTGAAAGAGGAAATAACTTCAGTATGTTCCCTGAGGATTTACAAGGGAAAGTATTCCTTTTTCCAAAGCTCTATTTTAGTTCCTGTTAATTCTTTGCTGATTTTTTTTAAAAAGATTATTTATACAAGCACTGGGATACAGGCCAGATGTGCGGGAGGGTGAGAGGACCCACCAGACAAAGCGGGGAACAGGACAGGCAGATCTACTGAAATACACTGCTGAGGGGAGCAGCGGGCGAGACAGAAGAGGTCTGCTGCGCCATGTGGGTATCTCCCTAGCTGGCCAGGAATCGAACCCTCGCTGCAAAGGCTCTGGACAGCTTCACGGCGCTGCGCTCAACTGCCTGCGCCACTGAGGAGGCCCCTGCTGATTTTTTTATATGAAAGCGCACAATGACCAGTCACCTTCCAGTAAGTCTGTTCTTTGACCAAACAGATTTTTTTTTTTTTTTAAAGATTTATTTTGTTTTATTTATTTATTTATGCAAGCACTGGGTACAGTCAGAAGAGCGGGAGCGTGAGAGAATTCACCAGAGCCAGAGCGGGGAGCAGAGCAGGCAGAAGGACCGAAGTACACTGCTGAGGGGAGCAGCGGGCGGCAGGAGAGGTCTGCGCGCCATGTGGGACCCTCCTCCTGTGGCCGGGGAGCAGCCGGGGATCGAACCGGTGCTGCAGAGGCTGCGGGCAGCTTCGCAACCCAGCGCTCAACCGCTGCGCCACCGGGGAGGCCCTCCCCTTCAGATTTTAACAATCCTGTTGTAAAATATTGAGGGTAGATTAAGAAGTTGAGTTATTCTTCCAGTTCTTTTGTGCTTTCAGTTCTCAAGCTATTCTGTCAAGCCTGAGAAATAATTTTACTTTTCATTCGTAATTTGACACATTTTCAGGGTTATTCCTTTGGACCTAGGGTAGAAAGAATTTAAATTCTAATTCCTGGTTTCTGATAACGCTATTGTTATTGACCCATACATGGTTCTCTTTTATTTTTTTCATTAGTTTTCATAACTTAATAAACACTTGTGGATCACCTAATAATACAAAAGCAAGGATTAAACCACATTTAACTCTGTTTTTCAAGCCTTTGTTATCTTAAATGTAGTTTTTATTGTAGCATTTTTTGTTTAAGGACTACGTTTGACATTCTAATGAAAATATACATGGTTTAAATTCAGAAGATGGAAGAGGTTCCCAGAAAATTCCACATAAGTACGTTGCACACAAACTGGTCACACACACATTAGCATAGATGTGCTGTACAGTCATGCATTCAAACTTGCTAGCTCTGTGGCCTTATACAAGTGAATTAATTATTCTGTAGTCCATTTCATGGCCATTACGATTAGAAGAATAGCTATCTTCAAGAGTTTGTTAAGGAATAAAGTACTGTGTGTAATATCACCTGGTGTTTAGTGTGATTTACTAAAACCTCACTGGTCTCTGAACATTTTCAACAGATATACTTAGATTCTCTCCTTTGCCAGTAGATGGCACTAGTTAGTTGGTAAGTGCGATGTTGACTGTCCTACACTAGCTAAACCATCTGAATCTATTGCTGTTACTGGAAAAATATTTGAAAGAGCTGGTAAAGACTATGAAAACTGTTATAAAACTGGTTTTAGGTAAAATGAGAAAGCATTGCTTCTACTGTGAAAAAATCACATGTGGTTGAACAACATTAAAAAAAAACAAAACTTAAACATGTTAAGACACAGTTGAATCAGATCTTATAGAGCTTTAAAACTGTATTAGCAGTTTGCATTTTTGTTCCAAGTGTGTTAGAAAACCATTGATAATTTTTAAGCAGTTTTGGATGCTGTTTATGTTTTTCAAAGATTATTCTGGCACGTCTACTTTTCAAAGACTCTTAGTGAGATTGAAAAGAGAAGCCATAAAGTTGAAAATATTTAAAGCCATAAAGTTGAAAATACATAAAATGACTCATCTAGAATATGGGAATAATTCCTGTAAATCATTAAGGGAAAGATAACACAATAGAAAAATTGATTTAAAAAAAAACATTTGAACAGCCTTCACAAAAGGAATTCCAGATGGCCAAAACCAAAGAAAGATCTCAACTTCAGTAGTCAAGGGAAAAAGCAAATCAAAATCACAGTAAGAATCCACTGCACATGCACATGATTGGCCCAGATGTGTAAATCTGATACTACTGGGGGTGACCAGGCTGTCACAGCATTCAGAGCTCTCTGCACTGCTGAGGGGATGGAAACTCATCCATCCCCCTTGAAAGTATGCAGTAAAGTGGAAGGTAATAGAAGCTGGGGCCTCAGATTTCCATTCCTCAGTAAGTACCTTGGAGAAAAACACGCATTCATGTGACAGTATCTTTTACACAAAAGCATTAGCCGCATTATTTATAACTGCCCCAACGGGAAACAACACAAATTTCCCAATTGGAGGACAGATCACCTACCAAAGTGTCTCTCACAGCAGAATGCTGTAAGGTAACAAGGGGAAGCACTACACCAAGTACGGCAAAGGAGGTCTGAAAAGCGAGAGAAAAGAACAAGTGTGGGTTCACCTCCATTTAGATAAAGTTTAAAAACAAGCAAAATTAAATCGTATTGTTTAGGAATGCACACCTGACTCATTAACTGCAAAGCAAATAAGAATTTAAGTTAGAATGGCAGTGACTTCTGATGTCAATTGTATGAGGTTTTAAAAAGGGAAGGTGCCCTCTGGTGGGGGAGAGGCAGCTAGCGGGGTGGCGGCAGTGTTCTCTCTCAATCAGAACAATGGTTATTTGCATATTTGCGTTCTATTTTTTCACCCAGCAGCAGCTCTACTTTACTTTCATCTTTCATGTACTTCTTTGCATGTGTTTTCTTTCACAAGAAGAAGATTTTAAAAGCGCACACTGGCTCCTCTGTTGAGAGTGGGTGACACATGGGCAAGACTGGGAACTTGGGAACAGTAATGTAGGTGAAAGAGGAGCTGGGGTGGACACAGACAGAACTAGGTCCAGGAGGAAGACTAAGGAAACTTGTCACAGGTTGTTTCCTCTTGTTCTTTGTGATAGTTCACAAACCAGAAAAAGTAACGTGGACAGAAGCCGCTGGAACGGTTCGGGATGGTGTGCGCGCCTACACGGCTCTGCATTATCTTTCTTATCTTTCTCCTGGGAAGTCGGTGCTGATCATGGACGGAGCAAGTGTAGGTGCTAATCGTTTTGTTAAAGAACCAACCAAACTGTACCCGAATCTTAGGGCATTTAGAAATGGGCCATCCATTTGCTAATGCAATTCTTTGCAGTGAGTTTATTTTGCTCTACCCATTTCATTGAAATAAGCAGTCTTTCTTCGAATGTTGATGTGTTTAGTTTCATATGACACTGGTTCTGCTGGTACATTAAAAAAGCAGACAGATCTTTCTTATCCACACCTGTTCTCCAAAGCCTGAAATAGCTCTTGAAGTCCTTAAAGCCAGACCCATTCATAGACGGTGCACACAAGAAATATGCTAATGTAAACATCATATTTATCATCCAAAAAAGAGAATCCATAAAAATATAACCTAAAAGTGTTAACAAAGCTTTGGGTGAATTTATAGTTTTATTTTCCATCCAGCTGTTGTTTTTCTTTGCGTTTCAAAAAAAGGCAGAACTGTCTTTGGCATTGGTTTCAGCCTCCCTGAACCTAGCCCACAGGGTCAGCAAAAGAGTGAAACTTTTGAAATGCTTTGATCTTCAAAGAGAGGTAGCTGGACTAGAAGTGTAGTGTATTATTAGCTTAGACCATGAGGCAGACAAGGCCCTGAAGAGCCCATCTTGCTTCTGCCGAGGCCACAGCTGAATGTGTCCCTCCGTCCTGGAAAGGGTGTGCGGTGGACAGGCTGGGCCGGAGCATGAGGTGTGGCATTGCTCCCACTCCTGGAGGAGAGAGCCAATCAAACATTTCCCCTACTGAACTGGTCCACATTTTCTCTATCAGATAGCACTTTAGAATATACTATGTAGCGGGCCTCCCCCGTGGCGCAGTGGGTTGAGCACAGTGCTGTGAAGCTGTCAGCAGCCTCTGCAGCGCAAGTTCAATTCCCGGCCAGCCAGGGAGATTCCCACATGGCACAGCAGACCTCTCCTGTTGAGCCTGCTGCTCCCCTCAGGAGTGCTTTTGGTCCATCTGCCTGTCCTGCTCCCCACTCTGTCTCTGGTGAATCCTCTCACCCTCCAGTGCCTCTGGCCTGTACCCCAGTTATTGTATAAATAAAAAATAAAATCTTAAAAAAAAATAGAATATACTATGTAGCACTAAAGTGTTAGAAAGTAAATTGGGTAGGGCTGCTAGGCTCTGTACTCACAAGCCCCATGTGCTTTCTCCCACAGGCACTTGGCACCATAGCCATTCAGCTGGCACAGCACAGAGGAGCGAAAGTGATCACGACGGCACAGAGCCTGGAAGACAAGCAGTGTCTGGACAGACTGCGGTCTTCTGTAGGTGGGTAACTGTCCTCAACACAAACTCTAAAAGTTTGAGGGGTATCACCCTCAAAGCGGCGCTTGAGAAATGAAGGGCAAAATCCCATGAAAATCGCTTTCCAGTGCACTCAGTGTCTGCACTAAGTCCATGTTCACTTAAGTGAGAGTTGTACTTTTTTTAGTGGTTTTCCTTCTTTGTCCTAATGCTGTCAACTTACCCACATTTAAATTAGGCGAACTTGAACACAATTTAGAAATGCCTGATGCGTCTTTCACTTAAGTCAATAAGTCAGTTTATTTTTACCTGATAATATAAAGTTGCCCGTTGTCTGTGACACATAAGGAAGAGCGATAAGCCAGTTACCCAGAAACACGGGTCAGGTATAGTCAGAGTGGGAGATAAGTAAAGACAGGAGTTCTTTAAAAGATGGCTCCTTTCCAAACAGCAATAAATATAGAAAGAACTGAAAAAAGAAAAGAAAAAGGAGAAGAGAAAGATGGGAGTGGCAAAACAGAAAAGAGGATAAACTGTGTAAGTGAAGGGCAGGCAGGAAGGACAGGTGGGGGCATTGATGGAAATGTGGATGGTATTTCCATATTTCCTTAACACACCTGTGTGGGCCAGCCAGGACACAGCACCTGAGACAGCTTGACCAGCTTGTCCAAGGATATAAAACTAGGTCTGGACTGGAATGGAATTTGAATCCAGACCTCTCTAGCATTAAAGCCCACATTATGTCCTTTGTTACATTATGCTTCAGGCAGAGAAATCAAGAATTAGGAGGAAGTGGGCCTCCCCGGTGGCTCAGGGGGTTGAGCGCAGTGCTGTGAAGTTGTCCGCAGCCTCTGCAGCACGGGTTCGATTCCCGGCCGACCAGGGAGATACCCACATGGTGGGGAAGACCTCTCCTGTCTCGCCTGCTGCTCCCCTCAGCAGTGCTTTCTGTCCGTCTGCCTGTGCTGCTCCCCGCTCTGTCTCTGGTGAATCCTCTCACCATCCCATGCCTCTGACCTGTACCCCAGTTCTTGCATAAAAATAAATCTTTGAAAAGAAAAAAAAAGAACTAGAAGGAAGGCTAAGACATGACTGGAGAAAGGAGGAAACTAGAAAATAAAGGAGAAAGAAGAGATTGAAAATGGAAGTGGGGAGCATTAATGAAGGTCGAGGTTCTTATTGGTTAATCTGCCCCTCTGAGGTGCTTCAGTCCCCTTTCCCTGCCTTCCAACCCCCTTCCCATCCCCCAAACTCAGATTGCAATTGACTACATCTCTAATCTCAGCATTCTGAGATTAGAGAAATCTGAGAATTCTCTTTAACAATATGCTAGAAAACACAAAAATGAAATATAAATGTATATCGTTGTTTACCAGTTCAAATTCTCGGGTGTTTTTTAATTCTGTCATTGATTTAGTCTATTCATATAATACTTTAAGGCAACCAGTTTAGAATTATTTTCATTTTCACTAACTGCTAAAAATGATCATCTTTTTTCTTTGCTTTAATTTTTCTTCATTTTGGGGACCAGGTAGTGGAGGTAGAGGGGGATTTCTATAACTAAGAAAGAATTTTTTTAAAGCAACCTCTCACAGAGAAATACCACATTGCACAAATATACTTTGTACTTACTGCTCTAAATGCTATTACATCTGAGCATGCTTAAGAAATTGCTTAATCTTTCAGTCCGTGTCTTAGTATCTCTCGGGTTTTATGTCTCTGAGATTCAGATTCTGACAGTGTGCCTGTAACTCTAGAGAGTGCTCCCCTGTGTCAACAGACCTGCCTTGAAATATACTATCCACACAGTGCTCATATTTTTATATTATTAATATACCAGTCCTTACTTTTCAAATGATTCTTACCAATATTGAGTTAGGTGAGAAAAAGTATAATTTGGATTCAGTGACTGTTTTAATCACGTAATTCATACAGAGTACAGATATTTATTTGCTTTTCTTGATCTTTTTCTCTGATTTTGTTATGTTGTTCCCTTAGAGAACTGTACCGTTGCCTGCCTTTCTGTCCCTTACAGCCCGAGTCATTGATGTATCTAATGGCAAAGCCCATGTTGCTGAAAGCTGTTTAGAAGAAACAGGTGGACTGGGAGTAGATATTGTCCTAGATGCTGGAGGTGGGTACTTTACTAAAACAGTCGCCTATAATCTCTGGTGTGTGAAGGACAAAATTTCAGGGGGGGAAATATATAACCAAGGAATAATTAGTAGCATATTTATTAAATTGCTCAGTATTTGTTTTCTAGTTAACTTTTCTAGTTAAATTAGAGCTTCTTCATTTTGTTCCCATTGTAAGCACTATCTTGAGTTAAAAAACATGCTTACCTTTCAAGGTACAAGCACTGGAGTTTAAGTGTCTAGAAGAAATCTGTACGCAGGGCCTCCTCAATGACTCACAGTTGACACAGGTTCAGGCCTCAGCCAGATGCCTGTAAATGCAGATCTCCCATGTGGAGCTCCGTTGGGTGGCTGACTCCTGCTGTCACTATTTGGAAAACATACAGGGTTTTGTTCCATTTTCACCATCCTGGAACTTTCTTAGTGTAGTATCTATATCTGTACGCAAGGGATTGTGCATCACACCTGAAAGGCAGATTGCACACCTGCAAAGGGCTCTCACTGCCTCTCCGTGCGATGTCTCCCCCTTGTGAGAGTTGTACATGGACACAGCTGTGCTCCTCACATGCTTCTGTTTAACCAGTATTTTCAAGATTTGAAATTATCTCAGAAAAGTCTTTCTGTGGAGGTGAATGTATACTGCATCAAAATTTCAAATGGACATTTTATTTTTTTAATAAAGTTTTTTTTTCCTTTTTTTTTAAAGGATTTATTTATTTATTTATACAAGCACTGGGTACAGTCAGAAGCGAGGGAGGGTGAGAGAATTCACCAGAGCTAGAGCGGGGAGCAGAGCAGGCAGAAGGACCGAAGTACACTGCTGAGGGGAGCAGCGGGCGGCAGGAGAGGTCTGCGTGCCATGCAGGACCCTCCTCCAGTGGCCGGGGAGCCGCCGGGGATTGAACCGGCGCTGCAGAGGCTGCGGGCAGCTTCGCAACCCAGCGCTCAACCGCTGCGCCACCGGGGAGGCCCTCAAATGGACATTTTAAAATTATGGCCAAGTATGACTGAGTCTATGAGTTTCTTCATCAGTAGTCAGCTTTCCCCAGAGTTCTAAACTGTTGGTATGATGTGTTATTTGTTGTTACCTGGCCTGGCTGTCAAATGAAAATAGACTTTGTAGCTTTAGTTATTTCACTTATAATTAAATCTAGAGTAAATTCTAAGCTCATTTTAATGCAAAAAAAAGTATATTTTATGGCATCTGACCACATTGCTGCATTTTGCTAAGAAAAAATGCTTCCTTATTAAAAAGAACTTGTTTGAAGAATAAATTATTGGCAGCTCACTATAAAATATATCTCTTCTCTCTCTTTTTAAAAATTATTCCCTTATAAGTGAGATTATATAGTAAAGATGATGAACCAGCCGTAAAATTACAGCTGCTGCCACACAAACATGATATCATCACCCTTCTTGGCGTTGGAGGTCATTGGGTAACAACAGAAGAAAACTTGCAGGTATTATCAGAAATAATGAAGCATTATTATTACATCAAAAGGTTAATAAAGAAGAATGACTAAGTTTGGGGGGAATGACATGGCAAAATTAGCATAAATTCTGAACGATAGCCTATTTTTAAAGAAATGTAGCTTATTTTTTTGTTTTAATGACATGTTGGCCAAAATGTTGAAATGGTACTTTGGAAGTAGTGACTTCTGAATTTTTTATTAGTATTTCAAAAGGGATTTTTTCTTAGTAACAAACATTATTATTGCCAAATACTTAGCAAAAAATTTCTATATAAGTCAGTGTTCTTATTCAAATTGGAATGTACTATATATGTGTGTGTATGTTTTAGCTCCCAAAGTTACATTTCTAACAGAATAAAAGTTAAATATTTTTATCCTGGTTGATATGCAAACACCATCATTTTCACATACCAGTCTTCACTGATTTTCCAACATCCTCATGAAGGTGACTGGTAAGTAGCAGCCAGAAATCACATGCACGTACCCCACTTCTGCTCCATCACCAGGATTCAGGTGTGGCCTTGCCTCTGACCTTGTGTGTCAGCATTTTGGACAATGAATTAGAAAATACTATAGTTTATATATTATCATTAAAGTTTGTGTGCTGATTGATTTGGGTATTTAATTTGTGTAGCAGTCAATCATGTCTCCACTGTGAAACTCACAGTAACTGATGAGTCTTTGTGCATTCTACCCAAGTTGGACCCTCCAGATAGCCACTGCCTTTTCCTCAAGGGAGCATCGGTGGCTTTCCTTAATGATGAAGTATGGAATCTGTCCAATGTGCAACAGGGGAAGTATCTTTATATCCTTTTTTCTTGCTGACCTGAGTTTGGGTTTGAATTTACTTGTACTCTAATCATTAAAGTCTTTAATAATGATGACGTATATAATAAAATAACATAAAATAAAAAGATAATGTAAATAATGAATAAATACTAATTGCAGCTGACTTTCATTGAGCATGCCAATGCCAATGTTCTAAGTGCTTGACGAGTATTAATTTATTTAAAGGTTAAAACAATCCTATGAGGTGTAAGTACCATTATTTACAGGTAAAAAGACTGAAACATAGAGAGGTTTAACAGAGAAAACATAGCCAGCAAGTGCAGGAGGAGTTACACACAGTCAGTCTCACCCATTTCTGAATGGGAAATAAAATATAAGATACATGGGAGATTTGGAGACCACATAGCACCTTGAAAGCTTACATCACTCCTCCATGGGGTCGTGTGCAAAAATGCCAGAGTACTTACCTAAATGGAAGAATGTGTGGGGTGTTGTTTTTTTTTTTTTTTTTTTTAAGATTTATTTATTTATTTATACAAGCACTGGGTACAGTCAGAAGCGTGGGAGGGTGAGAGAATTCACCAGAGTCAGAGCGGGGAGCAGAACAGGCAGACGGACGAAGTACACTGTTGAAGGGAACAGCAGGCGGCAGGAGAGGTCTGCGCACCATGTGGGACTCTCGCCCAGTGGCTGGGGATCAAACCGGCGCTGCAGAGGCTGCGGGCAGCTTCGCAACCCAGTGCTCAACTGCTGCACCACTGGGGAGGCCTTTTATGGGGTGTTTTAAAAAATATTAATGCTACGAAATCTTCATCAACGAACATGGGTTTGAATTTTTTAAAATGGAAGTTATTCAAAGACAGATCTGGTAAGTGAAGCCAGATCATTCCAGTTTTGGTAAAAGTAGTGGAAAAGAGTTCCAGGAAAAAGGTGAGGCCTCTCCAGAGCAGGGCCTACTAGAGAGGAAACCACTGGTTGTAAGATAGCCCTTTTATTTATTTATTTTAAGATTTATTTATGCATACAAGAGCTGGGGTGTAGGCCACAAGTGCAGCACAGGGGATTAAGGGTTGGGGGGAAGGGGAAGGTGAGAGGATTCACCAGAGACAGAGTGGGGAGCAGAACAGGCAGATTGACTGAAATACACTGCTGAGGGGAGACAGGAGAGGTCTGCTGTGCCAGGTGGGTCAGCTCCCTGGCAGGGGGTTGAACTCCTGCTGCAGTGGCTGCCATAGCTTCATAGTGCTGAGACTTAACCCCTTGCGCCACCAGGGAGGCCCCAGATGCCCCTTTTAAAGGGAGCTGCATCCAGTAAAATGTGTAATACATTAGATCAAAAATACAGTATCTTTGTACATAAGGAAAGAGACTTGCAGACCCTGGACATCTCACCACGTGTCATACTTTTGTCATGTGTGTAGTTACATATGTGTAATATGTGTGAAGACTAGAGCTCTAAGAATGAGGCCAGACATTTTGGTACTTTCAAATGATAGTATTTCAATAGTATACTGCATGTGTTGAGTTTTAAAGAATAAACTTCAAAACCAGAACATTCCCTTAATGTAAGTTAGAAGTATTTCTGATTGAATATTTTACTACTAAATTTGGAAAATAAACTAAATTATAACTTTCCAAAAGAAAGTTTAAATTGATTTTAACATAAAGCAACTTCAATGTCCAGTAACATTGTAATTATCAAAAGTAGCATAAGGGGGCCTCCCTGGTGGCCCAGGCGGACCCACATGGTGAACAGACCTCTCCTGTCTCACCCACTGCTCCCCTCAGCAGTGGATTTCGTCAGTCTGCCTGTTCTGTTCCCCGCTCTGTCTCTGGTGAATCCTCTCACTCTGGCCCATACCCCGCGCATCTGGCCCATACCCCGGTTCTTGTATAAATAAAATAAATCTTTTTTAAAAAAAAAGTTTAAAAAAGAAAGTAGCATATGGGGTCACTTCCCAAGACATACAGATATGGAATCACATTATACACTTGAACAGAATGTTACAGGTTGATCATCACTCAATTTTTAGAAAAAGAACACCATGGAATGGTGACGGTGGAGAACACCCTATATTAACAGCAATGCTAGTAGCATGTTTTGAAAACTAGGTTCAGTCCCCGCCTGTGCAAGCTCCCCTCAATCAGTTCACATAAGTTGATGCTTGTGATTTAACACAAGAGATCGCCTTTTAGTTGTGTGGTCATACGCCAGTACTAACAGGTATATACTCTCAATCCTAATACTGTAATTTCAGTTAAATGTCTCGATTTCTACAATGTACAGTTTTCTGATTCACTCAGTGGCGCATGACACACACAGCTTAACTTTCTTGCACACAAATTTTGAATCTTTTTGAATCTGTAGCCAGCTTAGTAAATAAGTGTGCACCTATAGAGATGTAAGTGCTAAGCTTATTTTTAATGAAATATCAAACCTAGTGCTGAAATGAACACCTCTCGCCACTCCGTGACCGTCCATCGGGAAGCACTCAGCCTGCTCGGTCCACCTTTTGTCCTCAGAAGTCTAGGTTCTGTTATGTCACCACCTCCCTCAAATGAGTTCCCCAGTTCCCCATTTTTAGAGGTAAACGTGATGGTTTACAGAAGTTCCATATCAAAGTTTGAATTTCTGAGAATGCTAAACTTGAAAAGGTGGGGGGAATGGGGAATGAGGCCTGCCTAACGTCCTGCTTATCCTCCTCGGCTTTATTCAGCCCTCTCTCCTTTGCGTTGCCACCTTAACAGTCCTCCAGCACGCATCTTGAAGGACGTGATGGAGAAGCTGTCAGCCGGCGTGTTCAGGTATGCCCTTCACCAGCCCCTGGCGTGTTTACTTTCCTCTTCTCCACGGGATAGCGCAGGGTCTCCACTTCTGTTCTGCTTTCACCCTGTATCTATTGTGCTCCTGTGTTTTTGTTTACATTAAATGCGGCCTTGTAATACTTTTCTCAAAGCGTATCTCGGGATGCACCAGCAAATAAATCTTCCTTAAGATGGAAGGTGCCCCCGAGTTTCTCCTTCCTCGCCAGGGCGCCCTGGGCGGCTCCACCTCACCCTCCAGAGCAGCCTGCAAACCCAAGCTTGAGAAGAGGGGAAGTAAAATTTTTGGAAGTTTAGACCTGATTATCAAAAAAGCAGGAGTAGAGAAAGCAGATGTTCTTTTCCTTTGCAATTTAACCTCTTTGACACTGGATGAGTTTGTTTGAATTATTTGAAGTCATAGACTTGAACTACAGCAACTGTCGCTCCCACCCCCACGTGTCTAATCATCTCCTCCTTCCTCAGGCCTCGGCTGGACGAGCCCATTCCCCTGTACGAGGCGAAAGTCTCCATGGAAGTTGTTCAGAAAAATCAAGGAAGAAAAAAGCAAGTTGTTCAGTTTTAATTGTGTTCTATCTCCGACCTCGGTTGGATGAACCCCGATCCGGTGCCCGAAGCCAGAGTGTCCTTGGAAATTGTTCAGAGAAGTCAAGGACGATGAAAGCAAGTTGTTCCGGCTTGGGGTTTTTTGGGGGGTATTTTTGGTTTTTTGGTGTTTTGTTGTTTTTTTTTTTTAAGCACAACCTTCCCGCCGAGGGGCGAGGCTCAGAGTTACTTGAAGTTTCTGAAAAAGCGCTGCACAGTCGAGACTGTCCTGCGGGGAATATTCTGGAAGTCGTGCGCCTGCGCGGGGCCCGGCTCGGGCGCCCCGGGGTCCCCCAGCGCCCCGGGGTCCCCTCGCGCGTCATCAAGCCGCTGAGACGCTCCTCAGGCTCCGCTGTCGTGATTTGTCGTTTGCGTGTGGGTGCGCGTCGCGCGGCTCGAGCTCACAGACGCCTGAAGTCTCCCAAGTGCGCGTCCGCGCGGGGCTGGCTCGGGGCCCGCGGGAGGCCGGGCGCGCTCGGCGGCCTCGCCCCGCCGGGCGGCCCCCGGGAGCGCGCGCCCCGGCCGCCGGCCCTAGGGAGCCCGGGGGCGGGGCGGGGGCGGGGCCGCGCGGGGGCGGGGCCACGTCGGGGGCGGGGCCGGCGCGCGCGGGAAGCGCTGGCGGGCAGCGGCCGGCGCCCCCCGGCCTGCGCGCGCCATGGCCGTCTCCGTGCCCGGCTACTCGCCCAGCTTCAAGAAGCCGCCCGAGGTCCTGCGGCTCCGGCGGAAAAAGGCTCGGAGCCTGGGGGCCGCCCTCGAGCCGGCGCCGCGCCGCGCCGCCCTGGCGGCCGGGCTCCCCCTGCGCCCCTTCCCGGCCGCGGCGGCGGGGGGCCCCGGCGGCGGCCGCGCCCCGAGGAACCCCTTCGCGCGTCTGGACAACCGGCCGCGGGCCGCCCCGGAGCCCCCCGACGGGCCGGGCCGGGTGAGTGGGAGCCGGCGGCCTCGGGCTGCCTGGGCTGCAGAGGGGGCCGGTCCTCGGGTCCGGGGAGGAAAAGGGGCGCCCCGAGCCCGGCCCCCTCCCCGCGGGGCGGGCCTGCGGGAAGCTGCGGCGGGGGAGGCGGGGCGCCCGGGGTGCGGGGGCCGAGGGGGCAGAGATCAGTGGGGAGGGGACCCCGAAAGGCCTGCAACACCGCCCCCCGCCCGGGGCGGAGCCGCGGCCCGGCGCGCGGGCTCTGTCCTCCCGCGGGGCCGTCCGTCCGTCCGTCCGTCCGCCCGCGGGAGGCTCCGGGTCAGGTCTCCCCCGCGCGGACCGCCGCGCCGCGCCCCCCACCCGCGCGGCCGCGAAGTTCAGGCACGAAACTGAAGCGAAACACGGGGGGACTCACTCGGCCGCGTGCGCACCTCAGTTTCTAGATTCTCATCAGGAAAACGATTTGCCGCGGGAAGAGACGTTTCCTGAGAGAACAGCCGTTCCTGCACCGCCGCAGGTAACACCGCGTCTGAAAGGCCCTGTAGGCTGAGGTGTAAGGTAACGGGCCTGCAGCGCTTTCCCGGAGTGGCGCCCGCGGCCTGAGGGGCGGGTCTCGAGCCGCTGGGGGGGGGGGGCGCCGTGCCCGCCAGGCCGGATGGAAACGGCCTCTCCATGGCCTTTCGGAAACGGTTCCCCTTACCTGTCCCCTTTTTGTGATGTCACCTGCAGGAGCTACTGTAATGTCGAGCAGGTTGACTCACATGGTGGGAGAAACTTGTCGAGGTCAGGAATTGCTCAAATGTGGGCTCTAAAAACTGCCTCGCCTCGGTTACCTGCAGGTGTTTTTTAAAAGGTGTTTTTTAAAATGCTTGAAATTTTTTCATTTTGATACCATTGTCAACAGTTTTTTCTTCTAATTATTATGAAAGTGGTACAGTGACTCCTCAACTCACTATATAAACCTGTATCCCCTGAGCTATGAAGTCTGCCCCCCTGCCAGCAGCATGCCCAGCAACAAAAATTCCTCCCTCCCAGAGATAAATCACTGTTAACAGTGTGTGAAGTTCCTTGCAGATTTTTGCACAGCGTGTGTAGTGTCGTTTCAGTGTTGTTTATTTATACAGTTCATAAGATGTTGACTTTTCTGTGATCATGAATGTGAGCTGGTAAAAACCTGTAGAACGAGCGTATTTCCTTGGTACTCTGCTTACTTTTGTATTCTTTGTTTTCTGAAAGACTCCACATGTATCATTCTCCGAATCTGATACTCCATCCTCAGAAAGTACTGAATTACCTGTGGACTGGAGTATTAAAACGCGACTCCTGTTCACCTCTTCTCAGCCCTTTACTTGGGCAGATCATTTGAAAGCCCAAGAAGAGGCCCAAGGCCTTGTCCAGCATTGTCGGGCCACAGTGCTTACTCTGCCTCCAAGCATACAGGTAATTCTCCTAAAAAACTGCTGTGCTTCAAAGTAATAAGTGTAAAGTGCTTTTCAGCAATGTATCAGAGATATTTCTGTCCATTAAGTCTATCTCCTGACATTTAAAGACACAGCATCTTAGTAAATTTTGTGTTTCCCAAATGGTGCATTCTCACAAGTTTTTTGTTTGTTTTTTAAAGATTTATTTATTTATTTATACAAGCACTGGGTACAGTCAGAAGCATGGGAGGGTGAGAGGATTCACCAGAGAGAGAGAGTGGGGAGCAGAACAGGCAGACTGACGAAATACACTGCTGAGGGGAGCAGCGGGCGTGGCAGGAGAGGTCTGTGCTCCATGTGGGGCCCTCACCATCGGCCGGGGATCGAAATGTTATGCAGCAACCCCGATATAAAACGGGTTGCCTGGCTGTAGGTCCTCACCCGCGCGCTTAAAAGGGACTTGTTAATACTCCACTACAGGCACACACAAAAGGTTAATAAAAGGTTTATTTACAAGGGAAAAGTAAATAAGGAAAATGTACAACTCAGGGAGAAAATAGGGAAATAAAGTCTTTAATGCGTCCTACCCGATCCGCCGACCTGGAAACCCAAAGTCACTCTCAGAGCTGGCCGGACGCTGTAAGCTGGTGGAGAGCCAAAATGGGGGGGGACCCCCAAAGCCCACGTGTCTGCCTTTTATATCCACCTGGCTGCTTAACCCCACCCTCAGGTCCCAGCTACCTTCCCTTGGGTGGTGATGGGATTTGGAGTTCCCAGTGGCTTTGGCTTTGGCCTGGGGTGGGGGTGGAGTCCACAAAGCCTGTATGGAATTAGCTTTAGGACATCCTTTTCCCCCTAACAGAACCAGAGCTGCAGAGGCTGCGGGCGGCTTTGCAGCTCAGCGCTCAGCTGCTGTGCCACCAGGGAGGCTCTTTTCTTTTCTTTTCTTTTTTTAAAGATTTATTTATTTATGCATACAAGAGCTGGGGTACAGGCCAGAGTTGGGGGGGTGAGAGGATTCACCAGAGACAGAGTGGGGAGCAGAACAGGCAGACTGACTGAAATACACTGCTGAGGGGAGCAGTGGGGAGACAGGAGAGGTCTGCTGTGCCATGTGGTTTTCTCCCTGGCCGGCTGGGGATCGAACTCGTGCTGCAGAGGCTGCCGATTGGTTCATAGTGCTGTACTTAACCCTTTGCGCCACCCAGGAGGCCCTCTCACAAGTTTTTGATGTTTTTTATCAGATTCAGTTTCTGTCCATTAAAATCCTGAGATTTAGTGTATGTTGTAGGCAGTTGTTTACTAAAAAGTCTTTTGGGAAAAAATATAAGGAAAAGGAATGAAAGCAATTGAGCAATTGCAAAGCAGATTGGTTATTTCCTTGATCTTTTTTTTTTTTTTTTTCATTACCACATGTGTTGTCTGACAGTTTCTGTGAGTCACTTATCTGAAGTGACTTAGATGGGTCCTTAAGGTCTCATAAGGCCACACAACGTGTCAGTCAGGTCTGTGGTCTCATCTAGTGCTTGACCAGGGAAGACCCACATCTAACCTCACTGATCTTGTTGGCAGAGTTCAGTTCTTTGAGAATTTCCATTTGTGCTCTCAGTTGGAAGCCGTCGCAGCTCTTGCCATGTGGGATTCTCCAAAAATGATCACTTGGCTTCCTCAAAGCTCAGGTTTGATTAATTTGCTAGAGTGACGCAAAGGAGACAGGAATCCCGTTTACTCAGTAGACAGTATACTGAGGAGACAAATCATCAGCCAGATCAAAGAGAGCATAGTGTTGCGGTATGGGGAAGAGGCACAGAGCTTCCATGCCCTCTTCAGTGTGCATTCTCACTAGGTCTTCAAATGTTCAACCTGGAAACTCCTGTCTTCCTGATTTTCTTACACAATGTAAGCTGGGTTTTACTTAGTTTAATGCACTAATTGCTGCCTAGGTTGTAAATTTAGTAGTTAATGAGTTCTAGAATTTTTTTTTTTAAGATTTATTTATTTATGCATACAAGAACTGGGGTACAGGCTGGAGGTGCCAGGGGTGAGAGGATTCACCAGAGACAGAGTGGGGAGCAGAACAGGCAGACAGACCAAAGTACACTGCTGAGGGGAGCAGCGGGCAAGACAGGTGTGGTCTGCTGTGCCGTGTGAGTAGCTCCCTGGCTGGGGGATAGAACTTGTGCTGCAGTGGCTGCGGATTGCTTCATAGTACTGTGCTTAACCCCCCTTGTGCCACCAGGGAGGCCCTCTAGAATGGGTTTAAAGAAATGTTATTGCACTATTTTCAAGCAGCTTATCAACTCAAAAGAGGTTGGAAGGGATTACCTAAAAGAGGCTTTGGTACATCTTTGTCAATAAATAGCTCAGAACAATTTGTGGTTTCACATCGGTTTTTACTTGGCTGTTTTCAAAACAGCATTATGAGGGGAGGCGCGGTGGAACACAGTGTTACCCCGTCACGCATACTCGACACAGACACCCTCCTGGTAAGAGTCATTTAATGAAGAAGAAGAATGTTCCATCTGTGTTAAGTGTTCCTTTTGATTGAAATCTGGCTTAACAGACTGTGATTGCTGACAAGAGATTTTCACAGACAACAATGAACTGTATTTTAGCCCTTGTAGCAGTTATTAACACTTTCTAGTAGGAAACATTAAAGATTCTGAGAAAAAGTGTTTAGTGCATTTAGTGTTTAAGTGAAATTCTATACGTGTAATAGGGCAAAAATACCACCTAATCTCATCTCTGGATTTTAGGATCCCAAACTATCTACTGAACTCAGATGCGCCTTCCAGCAGAGCCTTGTCTATTGGGTTCACCCATCCTTTTCTTGGCTCCCACTGTTTCCTCGTATTGGTGCTGACAGAAAAATGGCTGGAAAGACAAGCCCATGGTCACATGATGAAACCCTGCAGCATAACTTAATGAGTGACTGGTAAGATTCTTAAAAACTTTTGTAATTTCATTTTAGAAGTTTTCTCTCATTATTTATTTTTTAAAGATATATTTATTTATTTATACAAGCACTGGGTACAGTCAGAAGCGCGGGAGGGTGAGAGAATTCACCAGAGCCAGAGCGGGGAGCAGAGCAGGCAGAAGGACCGAAGTACACTGCTGAGGGGAGCAGCGGGCAGTAGGAGAGGTCTGTGCACCCTGTGGGACCCTCCTCCGGTGGCCGGGGAGCAGCCGGGGATCAAACCGGCACTGCAGAGGCTGCGGGCAGCTTCGCAATCCAGCGGGCAACCCAGCGCTCAACCGCTGCGCCACTGGGGCGGCCCCCATTATTTTATTTGAGATGTGTAACTGTGTAGTGGCATAGGATCTCTATGTCCTTCTGAATTATTTTATCTAAATTGTTAATAACCAGAAGTTAAATTGTTTACTTTGTTAGCTGTCATTTGCTCTTATGCAATTGTAGAATGTATGTGTATGTTTAAACATACACACCACACACACACATCACACACATACCACACACACACATACCCCTCCCCTCCCCAGTGGCGCAGCGGTTGAGCGCTGGGTTGCGAAGCTGCTCGCACCCTCTGTAGCGCCAATTCGATCCCCGGCTGCCCGGTGAGTGTCCCACATGGTGCGCAGACCTCTCCTGCCACCTGCTGCTCCCCTCAGCAGTGTACTTCAGTCCTTCTGCCTGCTCTGCTCCCCGCTCTGGCTCTGGTGAATTCTCTCACCCTCCCGCGCTTCTGACTGTACCCAGTGCTTGTATAAATAAATAAATCTTTAAATAAATAAATAAAAGAGAATGTCTGATGTTGATTATATTAAAAAAAAATGTTGTGTTTTAAATCACATAGGTGAATAACAAACTGAATTAAACAAATTTAAATTTTTGGTATTGCATTAAATGTTTGAAAACATCTAAAGAAAAGTCTTTTGTTTCATAGGTCTGTGAGCTTTACTTCTTTATATAATCTGCTGAAGACAAAACTTTGCCCCTATTTCTACGTCTGTACATACCAGTTTACTGTCCTGTTCCGTGCAGCAGGATTAGCAGGAAATAATGTAATCACGGCTCTCATGTCTCCTACAACTAGAGGTATAAGAGAAGCTATGAAAAATGAAGGTAAGACAATAGGTTGACAATGAGAATAACACTATATAAACACTTTTTCCTTAAAAGCTAAAATTTTGTCTTTTACCAGTTTTATCTTTATTATTTTAATGCTTTACTTCTGATTTTCTTCCTGCAATTATTTAAGCTGTCCCTTATACTTAACTTTAAATTAGTGGTGGTCCTTTCTCTGATTTCTAAACACTGGAAAGTCACTATCTGAATATATTCTTCCAGAAATTCTAATATAAATTACCTATACCCTTTAAATAAGTGATTTTCTAACTAGTTGGCTTATATTGGATCATAAAATTTCATAAACTCAAACAGCACTATTTAAAAAACTGACAAGAAAGTAGAATATACTTTATGAAAGAGTATCACACGTTCTGAGAGTATGTATTGTTTCGAAGTGTTGTGTCTATATTGTGTATTATGGGCAGCAATCAGGAAAGCTTAAAAGCTACTGCTTCCATTGATCAAGTGTAAAAATTAATCATTTTCAAATCCCTTATTCTCTAAAAGTAGTACATACCTGTTCAGTTCTCCAAGATTAAAAGCACAGCTACTTTTTTTCTCTTCTCATGAAGGTATTGAATTTTCTCTGCCCTTATTAAAAGAAAATGACCATAAGGAGAAGAAAGCATCTGGAACAAGCTTGGAACATGGAGAGTATGTGATTCAAGTAACCTATAACATCATCCAGTGACTTGTGGACTCACTGCAGTAGTTTTGTAGAGGAAGCAGCTTTGTGGAATGGAACTCTCACTAACTACAGTAATTTCCTAGGGAGCAAGCAATTAGTGATGAAGATGAAGAAGAAAGTTTTTCCTGGCTGGAAGAGATGGGTGTGCAAGATAAAATTAAAAAACCAGACATGCTGTCCATCAAGCTGTATCCTTTGAATTCCTGTTAAACGTGATTAGAATTTCCATTGAACTAATATAGAAGTAACTACTTAATAGACTACACTCTTTTTTTTTTTTTTTTTTACACTACACTCTTAAATTAGGGCCATATTAAAACTAATTATCGTGGACTTAATTTACAAACCCCTGAATACCCATAAGTTATGTACAACTATTATTAAACCTTTTTAAGTTAAAGCACTCATTTTGGTTAAGTTTGTTGGGGGAACCACTTTTTTTTTTTTTCTTAGAAAGAAAAGTTTATTTTAAGAAAAAGAATAAAGACTCCCAGGTATAAGGTACCTGGGAGGGGCCCAGATGAGCCCCCACCTTATTTTTAAAATACTTATTTTGTAGAACTGGGGTGAAGGCCAGAGCTATGGTGGGGTGGGACAGGGTGATGAGAGGATTCACCAGAAACAGAGTGGGGGGCAGAACAGGTGAATTTACTGAAATACACTGCTAAGGGGAACAGCAGGCAAGACAGGAAAAGTCTGCTACACAATATGTGAGTTAGCAACCTGGCTGGGGATCAAACTTAGACCGTAGTGGTGATTTTTTTTTTTTTTTTAATTAATAGAGGCATGTTTTATTTATTTGTTTGTTTGTTTTGTTTACACATGCATTGGGTACAGTCAGAAGCACGGGAGGGTGAGAGAATTCACCAGAGCCAGAGCGGGGAGCAGAGCAGGCAGAAGGACCGAAGTACACTGCTGAGGGGAGCAGCGGGCGGCAGGAGAGGTCTGCGCGCCATGTGGGACCCTCCTCTGGTGGCCGGGGAGCAGCCGGGGATCGAACCGGCGCTGCAGAGGCCGCGGGCAGCTTCGCAACCCAGTGCTCAACCGCTGCGCCACCGGGGAGGCCCCGTAGTGGTGATTTTGCTGAGACTTAAACCCTAGGCCACCAGGAGGCCCCAGAACAGGCAGATTTACTGAAAGACACTGCTAAGGGAAGCACTGGGCGAGACTGGAGAGGTCTGCTGCACCATATGTATGTAGGTCAGCTCCCTGAGGCTGGGGATAGTGCTGATATTTAACCAATCCCTAGGCCCCAAGGGAGGCCCTCACCTTATTTTTAATTGGAATAACATTGCCTTACAACCTTGTGCTTTAGAGGTGTAGGGTCTCCTCTTTCCGATGGTGTTACTGTCAGTCTACCAAGCCCACCATCATAATCCACTGTGCTTCCGCCTCACTTTGTTCTTGCCCCGCCACCTGTCTGGTAGCCTCAGTTCTACAGTTACAGGTCTAGGATTTATTACTGGTTTAGCTTTATCTGACCCTTTGTTTTTATATTCCACATTAGAATGACTCCATCCTGTATTGTTCTCCTGACTTACTTCAATTAGTATAATTGCTCCAGTTCCATCCATGTTGTCACAAATGGCAAGTCATATCCCAATGTATAATGAACCATGTATTTCTGACCCACTGTTTTGAGAAAACTTCCTACTATTGTCCATAGCTGACAGGTCTACATTCCCAACAGTATAGAAGAGTTCCTTTTTCTCTGTATCCTCACCAACAATTGTTGAAACAACCTATTTTTGACTCTAGAAATTGTTAGTTTTTCAATCAGTAAACTCATCAAATAGAAACTATGTTCATTTAGGCATGTGCTTTACAATTGCAGTCACAAGGGGTAGAAAGAGATTTTCCAGTTTGAAATGGGTGGGGTAGGGTCCCAGGAGACTCAGAATCTAGACAATTGCTCTTCCTATTGGTAAGGGATTTATTTGCATTTGCAATTTCCTTGATTGTTATCTCAGGCGAAGAGAGAAACATGAAGTACAAATGGATCACAGACCTGAGTCTGTTGTGTTGGTGAAAGGAATGAACACGCTGACGTTGCTGAATTTTTTGATCAACTGTAAGAGTTTAATTGCTACCTCAGGTGCCCAGGCAGGACTTCCACCAACCCTCCTGTCCCCTGTAGCATTCCGAGGTGCCACCATGCAAATGCTTAAGGTAAAAACAATTCCTAACAAGGCTAATGCACTTTTACAGTACTTTTCTTTTACGTAAGGTCAGATTTGTAAGAACTCTTGGCAGCTTCACTTGTTGCACTTTTGCTTTCCTACTTATGAAAATTCTGATTGTTATCAGAGGAATTATATAAAGATATGTGAATTAGTGTTTTACTTGGATTCCATGAAAATAATTTTTCTTAGGTCATTTGCAAGCAAAATCGCTTTATTTTCCTTTTGACAGAAGGAAAATTTTCTTAATCTTGTTTCCTATCTTAAGTAATGAAAGAACATAGCCAATAGTGTAATAAGTCTCAAAACCTGGATCATGAGTGAAAAGATTAACTTTACATCCATATTGTTGAGAAAATTATAAATGTAAATATATACTATGTTAATAACAATCAATTTTGTGTTTTCAATATTCTGCATTGAAAGTATGTTACTAAATATTTTAAAAGTTATATTGTGGTACAATGTACTTTAAACAGGCAGTGCCATTATTTGGAGAGGATGCTGGAGAGTTGAGAATTTACTAATGATACATTTACATAATATTCTTTTGATGTCTTAGGAACTAATTTTGATCCATTAACTATTAAAGAGTAGAAAACCCAAATGAAACGTTACTGAACATTTTAGCTAGGTAACCAATTTCCTCATTAACTTTAGGCAAGAAGTGTAAATGTGAAGACACAAGCTCTTTCTGGATACAAAGATCAATTTAGTTTGGAGATTACAGGTCCAGTCATGCCTCATTCTCTACATTCTGTGATGACATTACTCACATCTTCACAGAGTGGGTCATTTTCTGCAGGCCTGTTTACACATGAGCCAACTGCTGTATTTAATATCAGCCCACCAGTAGATGAAGTTCTAAATAAGGTAAGTAAATGATCATAAACAGGTTAGTTGTAACTAGTGTCCTCAAACTAGCTGGAGGAAATGTCTGTAAGATGTCACTGTCCATTGTAAGTACTAAGAGGAAGGGATGATGTCTGTAAACCATTCTATGAGGTTGATCTTATGAATTAAGGATATAGCACTCAACAGTAATTCAAGAACTACTTCCAGAAGAAAAGCCAAGTCATAATTTCATTGTCCTCTCAATTCCTTGATGTTGCCCATTCTCAAGTTATTCGTTTTAACTTTGCACATATTTTTATTTAAAGGTTGTAATTAACTGCTGTCACAAAGCAGAAATTCTTAGGGTCAGCTTCTGCTGATGAGAATTACCACCTCTTACCGTATAAACAGAAAAAAGCCATTTTGCCGGTCTATGTGGATGTTAGGATCTGTTCAAATGCTTTATTGACTTGTAATACAAATTTTTACAGGAAACTGTTCATGAGGAGCTTGCCAGCTGCGGGTTGCACCCCAAGACTCTAGATCAACTTAGTCAAATACCATCACTGGGGAAGTCATCTTTACGACATGTGGAAATGAATGACTACTATTATAGTTGGAGACCCTGAGCACCACAGTAAGCCTAAAAGGAATCTTTGAGGAAAAAAAGCCTTCTAAGCAAGGAAATTCAAGATTCTTATACCTTTGGCTTTAAAGTTCATTTTGGAATTTAAAAAGAACGGAACTTTAAAGTATTCAAATGTTCATAAACTTTTGTAACATGCACTGAGCAGGATTAAGATTTTAAATATTTTTACTATTTTGCAGATTAGATGCTAAAATAACTTTCTTTTGAAACCTTCAAATAACTTGGAAAATTCTATATCCCTAGTTATAAACTGCTACAAATTAATGTCTGCATTTCCTTGCCAAATGGGAAATTGAGGCTTACCCTAGTAGCAAGTACCTCACCATATTGTAACTAATGATATCAGGACAAACTATTTACCAGTTTACCAAGGATTAAAGGTTGTAGGCGCTTTTAAACTTTAGTGGCTTTCCTACTGATTTACAGTTCCTCTAGTCGCAAATTTACTAAAATTTGGCTTTATTTATAATTGCATGTTAATTTGGGTAAGGATTTTGTGTTCCGTATAGTAGTGCTGGAGTTATAAAGTATGCTCAGCTGTCATGGTCAAGTATACTTAATGTTCTTGTAAGTATTTGTGTGTGAGTGTGTGTGTGTGAGTGTGTGTGTAACGAAATGTTCTTAAATAAAAGTGCTTAGAAATCTAAAACATTGGGTAAAGAAATACTATCTAGTGAAGTTATGTGTTCACTTTGTAATCGAAAAAATAAACCACCACATTTATTCCAGAGAAGTTTATATTTGGGCCTTAAGCTTTTGAAAATAAAGTTTAGAGACATAGCATATGAATACCACTGTAATACACATGAAATTTTCTATTAGACCCTAAAAATTAACATAAACTTAAACTTTCTCATAGTCAACAAAATAGTGGCTGGGTGCCAATTTTATTAGATAAGTTGGTTACAGCATTTTAATTTTACGTCTATCTAGGTGTAGCTGAAATTCAAAATGCACATCAAAGTAGAACTATATCACAACTCAATGCCATACTAAATGTACTTGGCCTCTGCAGTAGAATTCTAGTCAGACTTGATTTTAACTCCCTTCTCATGGCCCAAGTGGCTTTCACGGGAACGCAGGACTTAGTGCTGATCATCACACAACATACCACTTTTTTTTAATAACCTCTACAAAATTTTAAGGGGAGATGGTGGCATAAGCCCTGTGGAACAGATCTTGCTTTATTTCCTCAATAACACTGGCCCAGTATCTGTCCAGCAGAACCCATTGTGAACTAGTACTAGTACAAGGTGCACAGCCCTTCACTGATTACAGGCAAGTGTTACAGCAGCCTAGCCATAAGGAAGGGGAGTTACATCATAGTACAAAATACAGTATAAAAGCGTTATTTAACATTCCACACTGAAGATTACGGATGCCTTCAAACAATCGTTTGGATGTTAGCCACTTAAACAAATACATCACTAAGGTAAACAATATAAACATACCAAAACCCTGTATGGTTAAATACAATTTCCATGGTACAAAAATCAAAGCCTGGAGATGTTTGTACAGATTGCTTTTTTACACAATGTCTTAAATTGCCAAATATTTACAACATTAAAGAGGAAATACATTTTGATGCAGAGTAAAATTATCTGAAATGATTAATATAAAACCTCAATCTATCTACGTGAGGCACTCCTGAAGCAAGTGGCATTAGCCATGAGGTCCTTTGGTACAAGGCCCATTGCTTGAAGAACCACAGTAGCTGCTGTGGCTTTAGCATGCTTCTTATTAGGGCTGGCAAAGCTGGGCTGGTAAGCGCTTCCATTTATCAATACCTATTCAAGAAAAACATACAATTGGGCTGGTAAGGGCTTCCATTTCTCAATACCTATTCAAGAAAAACATACAATAAGAACAGCATCAAACTTTAATATCTATTAGCTTTGTATTTTTTCACTAAAAGCTAGAAAAATAACTTATAAACCCGTACTATAAATTAATCTCAACCCAGGAGCAACTCAATTGGGAAAAGGGACTACAAAAAATCTGATTAAAAGTATGAATTTATTCCCCATTCCACTAGAAGATAACATTGCTCATCAGACTTTTGCCCACATCTTTCTCCAAAATTGTTTAAAAATAAGATACTAATAAGTCACATTAAAGCACACTACAGTGCCTTTTGGTAAACCCCACCACTCTATCCATACATAATAGCCAGCCCCCAGCCCACAATATATACTGTCATCATATAGATGCTTATTCTTCACCCTCTAACATTAAGTCATCAAATTAATATATATAATTAAATGCAGAAATTCATATTTACCCTAAAGAGAAAATGTTTGCGATGATCAGGGCCACTATCATGGACCAAGAGAAATTCAGGTGGTTGCCACCTTCTCTTATTACAGATTTCCATCAAAGCAGACACGGGATGCTTGCCTGCAGAAACAAAATAACCAGTTATAAATTATTTCTACCATCTTTGGCAACAAACTATTAATTCAAAGTGGAAGTGGGACTAGAAGAAATTTGAAAGTACTCTCACCTGACAGATCTTTCATTGCCGCAGAGAAGTTACCAGACCTCTTTTGTGCTCTTTCCCCTACTGCAACAAGACCTTAAAGAAAAAAGGACAATGTTCACTGGGTAAATTTCAAAATATTTTAAATTATAACGCAGCACAACAAAGATACCATGCTTAGGAACCTGAACTTCAATCCATGCCTTAAATAAAATCTCAGCAGCTTGATTTCTGTATCAATATTATGCTGTGTATTTTACAGATACACACTTCATATTCAAATACCCTGAAGCTCCTAAATATTTGATTTATATGTAAGAATTTAACGCAAGTGATTCCTAAAGATATTCCATCTCTTAAAAATGTTATATTCCCAAAAACATGAAGGCTTTTGGCCACCAAAAAAGAAAAAAAGGAGATAGACTATCGCTTAAGGATTAAGGGGTTGGCTTTTCTCCCCAGCAAACAAAACCTTTTGTCAAATGTAAGATTTCAAAAGACAAACATAACATCACGCAATACCTCCTTTTGCAAAGGGGTTTAGTAGTATTTTCCTCCAACTTCCCTTTATCCTAAGGGGAATTCTTCAACCAATCCCTTCTTAATTCCTTTAGTATGCTTACCAAACCATGTTTTCCAATTCCAAAGTATGTCCCATGGAATTTAAAGCATCCCACAACGCTTTTCTTCTACTATTAACCATGTTTTATGAATAAAGAATCTACTCAACTTGTGTAAGAAATATAACTGTGACATAATCACAGCACAAATAATTAGGATTGAATTAATGCTCCATCATAGGATGACTCTCGTGTTATTTCCAGCCTACTTTTGCATATCATTATTGGAATAAATTCTTCCCAATCTGAATAACAGCATTCTATATGAATGACAATATAAAAATTCTGATGCAAAACATTAAAAAAATACTTATTTGGTAGCTCATTGGCTTCCCAATTCACTAAGATAAGAAAATTTAATTGCATTAACTTCAATTTAACTTTATATTTGATTAAAGAAAAAGATTCCAGTTTTACAAGTGGTTACTCAGGCTTAAGCTATTGAAATCAGTGTGCCAAGAACACCAAGTGATTCTACTTAGATTCCAAGGGAAGAGATTACTTAAAAGCTACCAGTCGGCTATTACATGTGGGCAGTAAATATATATATAAACTATAGCAACTAAATGGAAGTTACATAGACTGAGCTTAAAAAGAGGAACATGCAAAATGGGTATATAAAGATAAAACACTCTAACAGAAAATAAGGAAAATATTTGGGATAAATTATCTGAGGAAGAAAAAATAAATCCAGCAATAAAACCAAACATGTTCCTTGTCAAGAGAAAAAAAAAAAAAAACTAGTTCCATTTTATCAATATGGAAACTTAGAATTTTAATATGTGCACATTTCCACATTTAACAACAAGACCCAAGTTTCCTTTCAAAGGCTCAAAATAACTGTCCATGTAAACTGCTGAAAATGGGTTCAATTCATTTCACTAACAGCTACAGGTATACCAGAGGAAGTGCCTTCACTTCAGGATCACTGACATCAAAAGACTTTAGTACAGTAATGAAACCCTAAATGTTGAAGGAGGCTCGATAAACATTCAAAAAAAAAAAACCTCTTACCTTTTCGGTCTGTCTTAAAATCAACTAGGATAGGTTCCTTATTTCCTTCTTTGTTTTTTCCTAATCCTTCTCCTTCTCTCCAACCCATTTTTCTCATCAAAACGGCTCCCATTCCTCCAGTTACTGGGGCTGCTCTTAAAAACTGATCCTATCCAAAGAAAGAAAGGTAAAATGTCCCCATTTTACAATTAGAATTTGACCACAAACTCAAGTGTTAACTTTGAAAAAAAAAAAAACAAAACTTAATTTACTTCTAAATCTGTTATAATTATTAGAATTAAATTTAAATGCTTCTATACATATATACATATTACACTGTGTGTATTCTGGTTATTTTCACATTAACAAAATATAGTATTTTGAAAGTCGAATAAGGCAGTTTTAAAACAGTGGCCCTCATGCCCCCCTCCAAAAATAAAAAAATTAGAACACTCCTGTTTTCGTCCACTATTTAGGTTCACTGGTATCTCTTCTTAGCTTGCAAAATAAAAAGAAGGCAATGTTAAAACAGTCAATAATATTGTCCCAGGTGTACCTAGTTAATGAATAAAGCCCAGAAATCATTTAGAAATAGTTTGAACACTGAAGCAGCATAATGTTATCACCCAGTTTTCTTCCCCATTCTGCCATAAAGCAAGTATACTTTACTAAGAAAATCCCTATGAAGCAAAAAAGATAACTCTTTAAAGTTACACAGCCATTAATGGAAGACAATCACACAAAATACCCTATAATTATACCAAACTGAACTTGAATTCTTTTAAAACCTAGCTTGATGTTAAAAGACTTTTAAAAAACTCCTTAAATGTTTACATACCTAGGCCTCGGTAGCAGCAGTGTTGTGAATAGTAGGGCTGGCACTGACCGGGGCAAGAAGACAGCTACAAGGATTTGGCCCTGAAACAAGTTTCCATACAGAGGGGTGAAAGTTCACAGGTTATTCTGTGAACAGTCATCTCTCTTGTATCCAACCCACTGAACCATAATTTCCATCAAAGCAGCAAACCACTTAATGTCATAAGAGGCACAGCTATATAGACGAGCACAAGTCAACAGTCACTTAATTTTACGCTGTAAGATATGGTATACCACTTTTTACAAGGGCATCCATAGATACAACTATTGAATTCTACTGTTGATCATTATGGCTTTTTTTTTTTTTTTTTAATTTGTAAATCTCCAAATCATGCTTTATTTCCCCCCGTTGTTAAATTTCAGATTTACATTCTCTGGCAAACTTCATTAACTTATCAATAGGAAGAGAAAGTAAAAAATTTTGGTAGCTTCTGAGTAGTATGCATTAATTTCCTGTATTGATAAGTTAATGCTTAATTTTTTAAATCTTGTTCTTACATAGCAGTAAAAATGTATCTTATTTCCCAGTATTTTAATTATATGCTGGGGAGAAAAGCCAATGATGCGTGGCTAGACATTAAGTTCAACAAGGTGCTCTGATGGAAGGAGGCAGCTGTGGAGGTAAAAACATACCCCTGGTTCAGTTCCTTTTTTGGTGCAGGCCATGCAGTGTAGATGTATAAAGAGAAAAGTTAGCTGATGCTGGGATATCAACTGCCTTGATGCTACACACCTAGAATGACTTTTACTTACTTCCAGGTTCCTCCGCCCCTCTTTTCCAGGCAACACTCCTAAAAAAAAGGGCAACTGTGCAGAGTACAATACAAATCCTCAAGTAACCCAGGTGTCCAACTTTTGTTTCCATTTTCTAGCATCTTCATCTGTCTCTTTACCCCAGAGTGTATACAGTTCACCAAAAAAGCTAACGAGACTACAATAGTGAACAATATTTATCAGGTCATGTCCAAATCATTTCATTCTAGAAAATAAAGGTCCTTTTAAATCAATTAACTATTTAAAAATGTTTTCCTAACAAATAATATTGGTAAGACACTTATTCTCTCTCATTTAAGAATATACTACACAAAAAACTAAAGTGAACACAGAGAAAGCTGGCATTCAATGTGGTTTTTAATATATAAAGGGGATGATGGACTATGTACTAATTTATCATTTGAAAGTTTTCTAAACACAGGAAGATTTGTGATACTTAACAGTGAAAATCAATGCTCAGTTTTCAGTTACCTAATGACTTTTCCTCATGTGGTGGCTCATTTTTAGAAATAATATCTTCCTTCCTTAATTGATACTAATATTCTTTTGTAATTATTTTCAGATTTGATCTGGCGAATACATCTTTCTCATATAATATCAAAAATTATTTACGTTTAAAATGTGAATTACTCTATAATCTGTGGACTGCCTACAAGGCTGATAATTTTTTTAAAATGTTTATAGGGACACAATTGTATCACTAAGAGATTTGTTTTTAAAAAAAGGGGGGAGTTTACGGACCAACACTATAGAAATGAAGTCCAAAATTGTGTAATGAAACCCCCTTCAGAAATTTCCACCTAATAATTTACATGACTAATTAATTATACGCCAAAACACCCACAAAG